CTTTCAAGCCGGAACCAAGATCAAAAGAATCTGGACTGAAATCTGAAACAAAAAAAAATGAAGTGAAATTTTTCGGCTCGTAACAATGCTAGACAATAGGGAGAATCTATCGGCTGATGAAATATTCCGCTCCTGTTTGGTAAAGGTTGAATAACCAACCGAAATTAGAGTTCAGCGTTTGTTTGAGCCAGTCGGCGGCCGGGTTCTTTGGCATTTGTTCAATTTATTCCAAATAACTTTCCCAAGGCGAGTTCCTCCCGAAAAACACACATACCCAACTTGTTCATTCATTTATCTTTGCTCTCCAAAATGCAAAGCAAGCCGATGTTTTCTTATTTTTTCGGACCCGTGGAGAAAAAAAATTGCAAACAAAGCGTGACTTTTTTTTTCTTTTTGTATTCTGATGCTCACCAAGACAACTTATTTCTTTCTTGCTTCATTGCTCAGATGAATAAATTGCCGGCCCGTGGGTGAGTTTGGAATTTCTAATCGCCGTTCACTTTCTTTTTTTCTGGCCACCGTAGTCTTTCTGATTCTTTGAACTGGAGGATTGAGCGAAAAGGATCTCACCGATAAAAAAAATTATAATGAGAACTTTGGGACATGAAATTTGTTCCTCATTCAAGAAATATGAGGCTGTTGACAGAAAAAAATTGGCCGTAAGACGCAGTGGATGATCATTTAAAAAGCTTGCTTCACATGTGCTTTTTTCTTTTGAAACGGGTTTTTTGGCTGATGAAGTTAGATTAGAAATTTTCTTGTGTAGAATCCAGAAAAATAGCTTTGAGCTCACTATTTTTGCCATTCAGAAAAAAAGATTAGGTTTTTTTGAAATCATTTATTTATCATCAATTCGAGACCGAAAAAAGTTTTTTTGCTCAGTAATAACTTTTTGATTTTTTTCCTTAATGATTCTTATCAAATTTGTTAATTCAGTTCTTGAAAACTTCAAAAGAGTTCGTGAAGTTTTGAATGACTCAAGAAGAGCATATTTTGCGTCATTTTCTCACAGTTATGAGAGAATTTTTATGAATGCAGTTGTGAAAAAATCAAGATTTTTTTTTTGATGAAATCGATTCAATCTCGTTGTCGCAGTTTGAAAGTTTACAAATTTATGGATAGAAGAGAGAGTTTTGCGCTGTTCTGCGTCTTCAAGCAGCTTGAAATTCTTACCTGCTTGATGTCAGGTTATTACAGACCAATTTAGCTCCAAATCAAAAATGATTCATAAGTTTCCGTTCAGAAGCTCTGTAATGAGACATGCATAATTTAAAACGGAAATTCGCATTCCACTCAAAAGTCCATGAAAGACGAGGAATGAACGTTGGCTGAATGAAGGCGGAAACGTTCGAATTCAATGATGTGTTCCTCTTACTCAATGCCGACACTAGAGTTTGACATTTTGCAGTCTTCTCTTGACTGAGGAAACCTTTGTAGGAGGCTAGAAAATTGTTATTAGATTTTTTCATAAGTTGTTGACGCCTATGATAGCATTTGTGTCAGTACGAAACTGAGAGATTTTCTTGTTTTTCGTATGAAGATTTGTAGCTTTTTGACTTGAATGTGAATTTTTGGCGTGAAATTTCAGTTTTCTCTATCTTGCTGGAACTGAGCGGTGACAAGATGTTGGGTAAATTTTTATATTTTTTTGTGAATAAAATTTTTCAATCATCCAGACTTTGGCAAAAAAACAATCTTTTTTTCATTTTTTTCAACAAGTTTTTAAATCGATTTTTTTGAGTATAATCATAAAAAAATCTGAATTTTTTTAAAATCCCTAGAAGCCTTTTTGTTTTCATTTTTTCTTTCTTGAAACTTCAAGCTGCAGTAAGATTTACAGCTTTCTCAGCTGAGTTTTGAGCAGAAAAAAATTCAAACAAATCATTTTTTGTTGAAAACTGATCTCAGAATATCTCCTCCTCCCTCATCTCGAATCCTTACTGCAAGAGAACCAAACTCCACCCGAAACTGATATTTTGGTCTTCTGAAGGATCGAAATTCTTAGAAGGACCGAAATTCTTTAATAATTCTTTCACACCTCCAACTTTTTTGGAATTCAGTTAGCGGGTTCTTTGTCCACGTGCTCGTGGAGTTTGGCGAGGCCAGACGAATATCTGAGACCACCCAGACTAGCGTGAAAAATAATTGCTCGCGCTCTTTTTTATGCAAGTTTCAGCTTGCCTTCGTTGTGTGTAATTGTATCCGCGAACACGTCGCAGGAAATGCAATACTGTATTAATTATGGAGAAGATAATAAGACCTCACGTCGAGTCGTTTTTTCTCCTCCTTCTTCTTCTTCTTTTTCTTCTTTATAATATTTCTTTGCGGGTTCCGCGTAATTTTGAGTCGCCCGGAGGTGACGTCTACTTTCCCTGCTCGGTAATAAGTTTATCCAGCTGTTTTTGAGAACGTCAACCTCGGAGCGGAAGTTCAACGTCGCCTCTGCAAGGCATCCTCAATTTCGGCTCTTCCTTTTCAACTGTGCAAAAAAATGTTTGAAAGTTGTCAGGTTCAATGGAGTCTGAGTAACATGTAGTTTGATTTGTTGATCTTCGAAAAGTTTCATAAATATGGATTTGATTCAAAATTTTAGGCAAGATTTTAATTATGAAGTAAGAACGAAAAATAAATCATCATCAAGCAAACTAATCTCATGATGAGGCTATTAGATTAGAAAAAAAAACTGGGTTTTCTTTTTCTTCTGTCCAGCCAGCGCTAAAATTTGACAAAAATTGAGACTCCCGCAGACCTTTTATCAAAAATACCAGGTCGAGATTTCAGAGAGGAAGTTTTTCAAAACTCGCTGTTATTGTAAGGTTAAGTTCAAAAGCATAAGAGTTTCAAGTACAATTATCAGCTGAGAGCCCGAAAAACTAGAAAAAAACATTAGGAAACTTTGTCCTCCGCCATAATAACATCTCTTTTTGTAGTAATATCGTTTATAGTACCCCATGATGAGGTATGGAATCGAAAAAAAGAGAGTTCAAGGAAACAAAACTCGAAAAGAATGTTCCTGAAGTTTCGCTGTATTCTTGTTCCTTCTTTCGAAAAACTAGAATATAGCTTATTTTTTAGAAAATCACAGGCAATCTTCAGAGGCTCATGCTGAAAAAAAAAACAAAAATTTTATTCCTTTTCAAATTAGAATATTGGAATTAGTTTTTGGAGACTTTTTTTCTAGTTTCTGAATATATTGACAGTTTTTTGACGAAACATAAAACCAGAAAAAAAAACGAGTTTTACCATTGGAACAGAGAACTTCAAACGAAAAGAACGAAGTATGGAGTTATAGCAACGGATTCCGAGTTTCTCTTTTTTTCCTACCGTGAAAAAAACACTAGTTTTTAAATATATGCGTTTTTTTAACAGTCTTTAAGAAAAAAACATCCTCCGAGAAAGTGTGAAGTACAGATTGTTCAAAACCAAATTAAAACTTCATTGAAGGTCCAAAATTCTGCCAGAAAGTTTGTAGCTACCTCTCCTCAAAAACAAGGAAAATATGAACTTTTGTCCTTAGAGCGCAATATTCAATCGGTTTTCATTTTTCTGCAGAGACCTCGCGAATTTTCTTCTGACTGTAATCAAAAAACGTTTACCTCTAGCCGCTTTTCCGCTCTACGAGACTGGAAAAATGTCAACCTTGCGGCTTTCAAGGCAGCAATGAATTATTCTCAACGTCAAATCAAACAAGAGTGAAGCCTTCGGAAAAAACAATTCAGTTGACTCGGAAGTTCACGCAAATAGGAGCAAAAAGCGACTAGTACGGCATTGTGTTCATTGAGACGACGAGACCGTCATGATTGACGTGTTTAAGGCCCACTCCCATGCGAGTTCCGTCGCGGATTAGCGCCGAGTTCTAAGTGCAGGTGAATCCGTCCGTCGGATCATTTGTTTATGAACTCCTCGACGTGTTTTACTTCATTTGTGCTCCAACGGATTGCCTTTTTTGTACAGCCTTTCGAAGATAAATGAGCTCGTAACGCCCCCTCAAATTTTTTGTTTTTCTCTTTTCTGTGCCTTTTTTCGGAATTAAATCCAAGATCATTCTACATTCAACTCCAGCTTAATGTTGAATAAAACCAATTTCGTTGAGTGCATTTTCACAAGATTGTCTTGAGCTGTTATTCTGTCTGTTTTTTTCTTCGTTCTTCTGAACTCGATACCGGAGAATAATTTGATTTTCAATTAATCTTGACGTTGACTTGAGCGATTCGCCATGTGGCGAGGGCATATGTCCAGTTGCTACCCCGCCGTTCTTCTATTTTTATTTGCACCTTGAAAAAGCTGGAAAATCTTCGAAGGTGCCAGACGCTTTCGGCTCGCATGGTTGACTCAGCCAGGCACGAAAATGAGAAATCCCTTTTTTGACGTGTTCATCGTCAAAACAATAACTCCAAATTTTTCAAATTCTTTCGGCGCTTCTTGCTCAGTTATTATTAGTGGTATTCTTTTATTTCAATTTTTCTTGTTCTTGATTTACGCATCTTTATCTCCTTGTTTGCACTAATTGTTTCAAAGCGCTTCGTTAAAAAAGAAAGCAGAGAAATTCTCATTTTTCTAGTGTCGGAGGCTTTTCTTTCCAATCATCAAATGTCTACTAACTAGCTGTAATGAAACAGCATTCCCGCTTTGACATTCTTCGGCAAAAAATATATTCAGTTTTTGTTCTTTTGATTATTTCTCATCAAAGGCTTCCAAGTAGGAAGTTATACGTTCCAACGCAAAACTTGTTGGTTTCTTCGGCCTCTTTATAGAAGCACTAAATTGCAAATTTTGACATTTTGACGGAAAAGACGTCATTCCTAAGCCTCTCGGAGATTTCTTCAAGCCCAATTATTTTGTATTTCTTTTATACTTTCTCAAAGCTTGAGAAAGTTCCTCTCTTTTTTCTTTTTCCTGCTTTTTTTCTCGCTCTTAGAAATTGTCCGCACTTTCATAAAAAAAAATGGTGGAGGCGGGGCTTCGAGTCGGCTGGCCAAGTCAGTGAGTGGACTTCAGAAATGAACTCGACGACGGACGAAGAGGTCGTGACGCCTTCAGCTGCCGAGCAAGGATGGCCCCTGTTTCTGACCTTTTCTGCTGTTGGCATGACCGCCCTTTCGACTGTCGCACTCATCGTCAACCTGTACCTGCTCATCGTAAGTCTCACTGAAATATTTGATTAACAAGAAAGGTCAAATCTCTTTAGTTGTTGAAATGTCATTGAAATCGTCAAAAACACTCTTCAATGTACTACATCGACATCTTGAAATTTCAACTCTAGTTGTTCCGCTACCAAAAGACTCAAAACTTCAGCCTTTTCATATGGTGTCAAACTTTTGAATCCTTTTTTCAAGATTTGGAAGTTGATCAGGCCGACATAAGCGAAGCTCTAGAGTTTTGTTAGAAAGTATCAAAGATAAGTGATTTCGAGAAAAAATACAAGCTCAATCTGGGAATGCTCAACCTTTGCAAAAGCCAGTTGAAATGATTTCATGTTTCGAGCAAATTGACAAAACTTTCCATGAAGCCTGGATTCTAGCTAAGCAGCTGACCATTACTTAAGAAAGGCAGATATTTTACTTCGTGACATTCAAAACATTTCTCAGTGAAATTATCCGATAGAATGTGACTTGAACTGAGTGAATTCAAAGATTCTAGAATGACTCAACATAAAATATTTCGTTTTGTGTATCATTTATTTTAGTGACATCCAAAACATTGAGAACAGAAAATGGGAAAACTCAAAAAGTTTGACAATAATATTTTGGTTCTTTCTTAACTAGCAAGCTGACTTTCAGTCTCCAACCGAAAGTTCAAATGTGGGAGAATGAACTTTAAATTGCGTCCTCTTTGCTCAGTTCGTTAAGATAATTGTGGCTGGTTCACTCATAGTAAGGATTATTAGAATCAGCTGAGTTGCATGGAAGTTCAAAGCGTGTGGGCAGTGATATATGAGGTCAAATTCAGAGCTCACCTAGAAATTCAGACTTTTACTTTGAAACGTTTTCAAAGCAATTGTTTTTATTTGCCGTCTTTTTTTAAAAGCCCGAAATCTGAACGCCGGCATGTAATAATTTTTTGCAATCTGAGCGAATCAAAGTGATACAATTTGAAAAAGGGCAATGTATGGATTCAAAAAAAAGGTACCGAAAAAGTTTTAATAAATTTTTTTAACAGGAACATATCAATAGTTTTTTGCAACCTTTTCATTTGGTACATTTGGAATTTTTGAAAAATATTTATGTTGCATTTGAACTATTGAATGTAAATCATTACTCTCCATTTTCAAAAACCGGACCCTAAATGCTCGTTTCTTAAAAGATTGTGTCTAAAGTTCAAAAAATTTAACAAGATTTGACATTCCGACAGTTTACCTAACGAATTGAAAAGTCATTGGTAAAATATTTAAATATTTTTTAGAATCCAGAAAAACTTTTGTGAAACTCGTTTTGGACGCCTCCAAAAAAGTGTTTTTCTAGTGCTCGCGCTACCTCCGACGTCCGATTGGAGTGAACCTCCGACTTTGCGTGAGCCTGACAGCCTCGGACGCTCTGTGTGCTGTTTTCTACATTCTGACGTTCCTGGTGAACGTCTTTTTCAGGGGCTACGTGTCTGACTGCATTTCCCTTCTTCTCGAGGTCTCGAAAAAGTTCATCACAATTTCAATTTGTTATTTTGCGCGTTCAGGTCTGCAAATTGTCTACGTTCACCGCCTCCGTTTTCACTCTCCTTGCGTTGGCTTTGAACCACTACGTTGGAATCGTGTACCCTCTGCAGAGGTCATAATTAAAATAACGCTAATTAACGAACCAAAAGTTATTTTAGAAACGCCATCACGCCGAAAACAGTGAAAAGCGCAATTATCATTGCGTATTTGATTCCTCTTTCGGCTTATTTGGCTCTTTTCGTCATTTTTCCTGGAGGTTTGCATAATAACTATCATAACTGGGAAATGAAAGAATGGAAAAGATTTTTCGAAGGCAAACTCTTGAGAAAGTTCAAAAGCAAAAAATAAAATACTTGAAGAGTTCTTGAAAAATGCCTATTTTTCAGGACTCCGAGCCAATCCAGGATTCTCGATAGTTTCTTTGGACGGCTGCAGAGACACTACCATCTACAGTAAGATATTTCATTGGTGGTTGGAAAAATATGAGAGTTTTCCAGGAAACAGCGTGTTCCGATGCACGTTGGTGGCGCCTTTCATCTTCTTCGTGATTCTGATTTCTTTCCTCTACCTGCATATCTTATGCCACATGAGACATATTGCCAAAGATCCGTTGTTGAAAACAAACAACAAAAGTAAGAGAACGAATAGAAAACTGCTCGTGACGCTCATGTTGCTTGCTGGATCTGCCTGTGTTGGTTCGTCTTGAATCGTGGAAGATGGATGAAATTTTTTGATTTTCAGGATGGCTTCCAACTTCTTTGAACTTTGTCATGCCTATCATTTTACCAATGAGCAACCAGGCTAGAATCTACGCAGGGTAAGAATTATCAAAAGCTCAAAAAAAAAAAATATTAATAGCTTTTTTGCGGCTTCTTTAAAGTAGAAAGGTTTCAAAACAGAGGGAAATAATTGGAATTGATGTTACAGGGCGTAAGTAGTTTCTGGTCGGCAGCACCAAGTTTCCGTAGCAAACTTCACTTTCTTCTAATACGAAAAAAATGATTTGTGTGTTCCTACGTAATAACTTGAATAAGTCTTACTGATGATCTGCGTCCTAACTTTTCTGGACAATTGTCGCCAAACAACAAAAACCGAGATAATGAAACTTTTAAGAGCTAAATAAACGGATAAAATCAGAAATTTGCCTGATCTCAAAAAAAAGACGTTATGATATGGAAACTTTTTGTATCAACCCTATCGAGTGCCTTTCAAGGAGATAGCATTTCAGATTCATATCCCAAACTTTGCACGTCGGAAAACTGTTGGCCGACGCCTTCATCTACGCCAGCCGACTGGTTGAGATACGCTACGCGATGTGGATGTTCAACTCCAACTTCTGTAGCTACTTGTCTCGTAAGTGGAGCTCTGACGTCTTTAGAAATCAACTTTTTTGAAGATTTCACCGGCACCAAGAACTATGATCGCAACGTGCCTCAAGAGTTTGTTCGCTACCTCAGTGAGACGAAGGAAAATCGTTCGATGCGCTCGAAACGTGTCAAATCTGAAATGGATCCGGAAAGCAAGAAATATGGTAAACTATTGTCGAAACTTCAGAAATATTGAAATTCATGGTTTCAGTGCATCACAGAGTCACTTCTCAGCGTTTCCCTGCCACTCAACCGAAGGTAAACATTTTTTTTTCAAATGAGAATTCAGATTTAAAATGAATGATGAAACATTCTTGAAAATATTATCATGAGAAATAGCTGACGGGAAAAATTATCTCTGAATCGAAACTTACTGTTTCAAACATAGTTTTGTTCAGCCTAACAGTAAGACAAAAAATAAAATAGTTTTTTTTTGCTCAATTTACAGCTGAAAGCCTTTGTTGAACGGAGGTTTAATCCAGCCGTCATTGGAAAAGATGCTCTTTTGGATTCTTCGATATTATTTCGAGCTTATTAGTTTTTTTAAATCAACTTCATGCCTCTTTGACAAAAACAAAGGAATTTTTAGCCCTCTTCTTTGAGCGCCTCTCATCGTCCTCTACAACACGCTAGATCCAACCCGACCACGAGTAATTACAACAACAACGGTGCTGCGAAACTATAAATTATTCAATCACATAATCATTTCTCTCCATTCTTTTTCCGACGTGTTCAGTGAAAGGTGAAAAAACAGAAATGATTTATTGTTCACATTTTGAACTAATTTCTGATTACTTAGAAGATATTTCGACCCTTCTTCTCTGAATACGTCAGCTGGTTTTGCCTTTCCTCCATGCGCGTTGTGAACTTTTCCATACATACCATACTTTCCGTGCCAATTAGAACCGATAATCCTTTATTATTCTGTCTGCTCCATTGTCATGACCTATTCGTTCCTATAAGTAGCTCGAAACGGGAGACTTCCAAAAGCCATCTTCTTTACTACTTTCAGCGCTATGATAGTTAACCTGAAATCCTCATTTCATAGGCATCTGTCGTGTGAGAATTGTCTATTTTTCCTATCGATGGTTAATTTTTGTGTGAGCAAAAAAAATGATAAAATTGAAGTGGATGTTCAATAAATAACAAAACAATCTTTCCCGGCCTCAGCAAAAACGCTGTTAGAAAAATACTTTCAATCTTTCATTTACTATAGTATGTGTACCACGACTTGGAATTTCACCGAACGACGTTCCGCTGTTCCGCCGGACGCCTTTTGCGAATATCGGTCGCGCTTTCAATTTTTTTCTTTCATTTGAATACATCCAGTAAAAAAACTTCCTTTACAGGGCATTACTCTCATTTTTCATCTTTTTTTCTCATATTTCTGAAAAAAACCTAATTTTTTTAAAATATAATGGGAAAAAAGTTTCCATGGAAAAAAACGGCCCTAATGTAACAGGAAACTTGCTCAGCTAGACGTCTGGCGGAGAGAATCTGTGTCTGTCACAATAAATCTTAAAAAAATTTTATTAAGTTTTTAAAAAAATTAATGTAAAACGTATAGAAAAAAACTTAAAAAAAGAGTTTTTTTCAGATCTCAAAAAAATATTTTTAAATGATTTCCCTTTGCAAAATAAATAAACCAAACAGTTAAAGCTCAAAAACATAACTTATCATATGCAATTCGTTTTCTGATAGAAAACTTCAATTATTGGTTTTTGTGCCGAATAACCAAATAAACTTTTTTGAATACTTCTCAGGCTTAAAATCGAACCAAGCGCAAAATAATTTACTTTTCAAAAATTTCGATATTAAAAAGAATAGAATAAAAAAGTACTGGAAGGAAACCCAAGGTGAGGAGGAAGAGGTCAGCATCTGGTCGAGCAACAGAAAATGTTCTCGGGGAAGAAGGCCGAGAAGTTGATGAGACGGCGACGATGACCCAACATCAAGATGGAAAAGGCTCCCACTTGTTGGTATAAAAAAAGGTTGTGGAAGTTTACAAGTCGGGTAATCTGAAACTTCTTTATGAGCAACTTTGAAACTATTGCGTTCCATGAAGATTTGTGAAATGTGTGAGCAGTTTTTTTGTGTTGAGTGAGTTAAATAATTTGAAAACTTTCATTTTTAAATCTCTATCAAAAATCAAGTCTGATAAAACATGATGAACATTTTGCTCAAAATTTAAAAACAAATATTTGCACGAGAAAGTCCCAATATTTTTCTTAAAATTGAACCAAAATTTCTAATCAGTCATCTCAAAAATCTTCATTCATTATCGTGCAAATACAAAGGAAAAACGGAAAAACTGATAGAATTCAGCTTGAATGGATTTTTTTTAACTCATCCAGTGAAAAAGGGCAATCGGAGGCTTCGAAAACTTACAAGTAGCTCGAAGTCCTTTCGAAAAAAACAAGCAATAAAATCAGGAAAAACTAACATTTTTTAGAGCAGTTTTTCAAGCTATCAGATAAATAAAATCATCACATTCATCAAAAAAAAGTAATTCTAAACGTTGAATGATCCCCGAAAAATGTGTATGCGCTCTCTTTCGTAGTTAATGTCTGTAGAGCGTCGAGCCTGGAGGGAGGTGACAAATGAGTAAAAGCCGACCGACCGCTTATCGCGGATAAGCTATAAAAATGTAAAAAAACAATATTTTTGACAGACGGTCTAAAATAAAAAAATCTCTGGGATGAAAAAAATTGAGATCAGAAAAAGAGTCGCATAAAATATAAAATGAGTTGGAATAAAAAAAGGAAATAAAGACTTTCAGTGAGTCTGATAGGAAATTTATGGATCAATCGGCTGAGAGGTCAAAAGTTCTCCGTTTTTGGCGGCAAACGCGCCAAAGGCCGACGTCGTCCCGAGCATTCACAATTCCGCATGATGTCTGCGGCCTGTTCCTTTTTTATATACATAAACTCCGCAAAACGTTCATTTCTTCATTCAACCCGCATTTCCCTTTGGTTATTTCTTATCCTTTCAATAGTCTCTTTCTTCTAGTGCCCAATTTGTCCAACATTGAATGAAGCGTGGGATTGTTGTTGAGTAGAAAAGTCAAAAAACGGTCATTCTTCATTTTTTCGTTTTTTTTTTCGACTGTAATCATCGATATAGTTCAGATATAAAACCATTATTTTAGAGCCTCATATGCTGGTTGATTCGAGCTTCATTTTTTTTTTGACCATGTTTAAACGCTTTTTTGAGATCTTAAAACAAAAAATGACTGCATGCCGTGTAATCGGAATATATGTCTTTTGTTTTTTCTAGATGAATGACTACTGCGATTTTTCAGTCTCTAAGAACAAGTTGAAGATGTCCGACCGTCCGATTTTCCACATTCCATCGATGCAGACACCGGCTCCAATGACTGCCACGAATTCTTTCCTTCTCCCGCCATCAGGTTAACTTTTTGTTGTGATATTTACAGTTTGTCATAATCAAGAGTCATCTGGCTTGACGCTGTTTTACATCATAAACTTGTGAAAAAAAATCACTTTGTTCATTTTAATTTTTTTGTCTTTGGTATGGATAGTTGAAAACTTTCAGAAGATGGAATTGCATATTGCAAGGGACTCTTCAACTAATTGATTTTCATTTGTAGCAGAAAAAATTTCGAACCAAGTCTTGAGCTGCTGGCATTCAATAATATCGATTTTTTCCAGCTATCCAACCACCCCGGAATGATGAAGAACCACAGACCGCCATCGAATTGCCTGTAGAAGCCGTTTACGAAGCCTTTCAAACAGCAGAAACTGATTGTGAGCCTCAACTCCTACATCATATCATTTTGATTCGATTCTTAGCCGCTCGAGATCCTGCGGTCGTCTTCTCCGAACTCATAGACGTCGTAACTGTCGATCCGGCCGATCCGGTTATATACATTCCTGTTACATACATGCCTGACGACAGTCCTGCGTCACCTGGTTCAATTTGCTTTGAATAACATCTCTTTGATAAATTTATGGTTTCTGAACTATGAATATTCCTGCAGTTCTATCATGTTGAAACTAGTTATTTTTAAAGGAAATTTTTTGAACTCTCAAATTCTAACTAATAATTGGAATGAGAATCGGGATATAGAGTGCATTTTTAAACGAAACTTCGGAAACTTCATGACGTGAAGGAAAATAAGAATTGAAAACTTTTGAATAGCCTGTAGAATAGTTATTTTTTACGGGTTCGAAACGTTTCTGAGGAAAAGTTGTCTTTTAGCTCACTTTTCTGTTTCCAGATCCATATGATGCCGATGATGAGGTCTATTCTTGTTCGTACTCTACGGATTCAAGCAGATCTTCTCTTGCAAGCTATCGATACCTTACCACGAGTTTGATTTTTTATCTTGTTGCTTGATTAGATTATATAAAATATTACCTAGGAAATGATTTCGCGCCCCGGATTGAATTTTGATGAAACTTTGCTAAATTGTACTTTAAGGCCTTCAGATTCTAAAGTATGATAATAATTTCTTACAACAAATCTTGTTTTTGAGTTATGTGGCTTCAAAGTTTGCGGTGTAATCTTGAATATCTGTTATTCCTACTGTTGATAATTGAATCGACAAAAACTCTGAAGAAAAAACTCGCTTTGTTTGGATGGAGTTTTTGGCTTATATAAAATTGCAAGTTTGACACACTTGAAAAAAAGAGGTTTTTCAGCTTACCCGAACAGCCGATCTTCAAGCAGATCTTCTATGGGGATGGAAGATTTCTGGGAAGAAAAGATCGAAGCAGACGCATGTGAGTCAATGGTTTTTCTGAAGTTCGAAAGCTAGAATAAATGCTTAATCTTCTATAACTTGAAGTTTGAAAAAAGAATCAGATAATTTTAGAACATACCAAAATCATTTTCAGACTAATGATTCATTTGTACATATTCAACTCTAAAACGCATATTTTTCATCATTTTTAAAACTGGGAAGCTATATTTAAAAGTATTCTTTTTCCAAGTCGAACTTCTCGAAAAAAGTTGCTTTGAGTTAACCTACGTCATTTAAGGGGGCACTGAAACCTTTCTCCAGTCTTGGGCATTTATCGAACACATGGAACGTTGGAACTCGGGGACCGGTGAGTGAATAGTCATCTTTCTCAAAAATCAACTAGATGAAAAGAATTAATTCAATATTTTTGCAGATTCCGGATCTGAAGCCAGTTTCGACCCACTGGAGCCCGTTATTCCCGACGAATAAGTAGATGTACATTCACTTCATCGCTACCTCTGCTCGATTCCGGCCACTCGATTTCTGCTCGATTCCGATTCCATCACCTACCACATTCGAAAACTTTGCAGTGTTTTTTTAATGTCTTGAACTAATCATCTCATGTACATGGTTCTGCATTATAATTTTCCATGGGTAATCGAAGTTTCTCTTGACGTGATCACCTCCTCGCTATCTGGTATATTCTGTTTTCATGATTCTACTCAATACATTGTCATAATGGGCTCAGCCCTCCGAATCCGGCCTTTTCTTTCAATTTTTCTGTAAATATATTGCTGCTCTTGGAGCTTGATTATATTCTGTCGACGTGAAGTAAAAACGTATCATTTAAATTGCCGTTCTTACGCACGATACTATGGTCACATCAACGATATTGGGAGCTCTGAAAAAAGGCTACAGGATGATTTTTAAAAATACCTTCAATTGTTAGATCTACGGAGATTCTCATCAGGCAAAGATTTGAATCTAATTTTCTTTTGTACATTTGGAATTCAAACATTCAGCAATTTAAGTAATAAAAGTCAAAGATACGAATCAGATAACTTTTACGTTGAGTTGAAAATTGAAACAAAAAGGTGAAAGGAAGCGATTCTTCTGAAAAAATTAATCAGAACCTTTACAAAACTGCAAAAATGTCAGAAAGTCATGAAAGTTTTCATTTTTTTGATTATAACTTCTTATGTTCTTTGTGAACTAATGAAATAATCTGCTCTCAAAAAATATTGCTACAACTCTTTTTGTCCGAACTTTCACGAGTTGGTCTCCTTCCCGCTCTTTCATGAGATAATATTCCACGCTCGTCGGCCCTGGAAAAGTTGACCGCTGTACTGTTCCAACATGGTGAAACAGTTCATTCGCTGGCCCTACCGACGGACCCACATTGTTTTCCAACGCTAGATGTCACGCCGGGACTTATTGGACAACTATTGCCGACCGTAACTCGCGCAGACGACCAACTCTTCGACTATACCATGATTCAGCAGAGATTCTCTTCATCTCACTCTGAAGACTGAATAAATTGAATTAAATTAAATTTCACGAGTTGAGCTTATCATACTCTGCGAATCAATCAGTCGAAGTTTTGAGAAAAAAAGATGCTCAAGTCAGTAAACTTTGGAGACCTTAAAAAAAGGATGATAGGAAGCTAACTCATAAGTCAATTAGTAATATTAAAATTGAAACGAAAGAATTAATTTGATGAAAACTTGATTTATTGAGCAAAGGTTTGGTGAAAAAAAATTCAATCAATCGGTTGATTTTTTGCAAATAAAAAAGGATCGAGATTTGACCACTTCCAGGGGAATCCAAAAGTAAAAGATGTAGGTTCAAAAAAAAATTCACGAAGAGTGAGATGAACATTTTTTTAATTAGTAACTTCCAAAGCTTATTCAAAATAAGGTGCAGAAAGTTCAGTAGTATAGCAAATAAATTATCGAGAATAAATTAAAACATCGAATGATCTCCGACAAATGTTGAAGCTCACTCTTTGGCGGACATAATTAATGTCTGCGGAGCCTGGGGGGAATGAAAAATGAGTGGAAGCCGGCCGACCGCTGATCGCGGATGAACTTTAACAAAAGTGTAAAATCAGTATCTAGACCAGGGATGCACGAGACACGATCTCATCAGGATTTCGTCTCGAGACATTTCGGGATGAAAAAAAGAACTTTTTTACGCTAAAATTTTGAAAAGGCGTTCATATGACGACCTGGTTGTGACAGAACATATGGAAGCGATCAAAACCACAGTTTCAGATTTTGCGTAATATTTCTCAATAAAGAGAGGTTTTCGCACAAAGTTGAGCTTTGGTCGTTTTCAGGTGTTATTTTGATACAAAACACTTGAATTTTTTCATTTCAAATCGTCTCAAACCCGTCTCAAGACAGTCCCGATCTCCTCTCGAGTTTTTTTTTCCGAAAATTTTCTCTTCTCGATCTCGTCTCGAAATGAAAAAACCTCGTCTCATGCATCTCTGGTCTAGACAAGGTCTCTGAGTAAGAATGCTCCTACTGAAATAAATTGCGAAATAGGAAGATCGAGAAAATTTTTCGTGAATGTAATCAAAAACTGATTGAAGTTTTTTTCATTAATTTCAAAGCTCAAAGCGTTAATAATTAAGAATAAATACAGAAAATTATGCCAACAGCTTAGAAAGGAAATTTGGCATTATCGTGAATACAGTTTTTTTTCGTGAAAAGAAAATCCTTACGCTCCATCATGGTCTCAAAAAAAACCCTCATACTTATTGTTCTGGGATACTTTCGCAAACGTCACAATTCTCACTGAGATCAAAAATAAAATTGAGAAGAGAAAGGAAAACTCTTAAGTTTGTTAGCGGAAAATCAGGGAGACAGGTAAAAAAAAACAATAAAAAAAGTAACGGTTCATAAAAAATTGAAAAAAAAAGTTTCCGATATAAATGAAAAAAGGCCAAAAATATCAAAAAAAAAGTTTACAAAGGATTCTCTGTGGGCTTCCTATCAAAGTGATAAGAATCATCTTAACCATCTTTCAAACTGTATTTAATATAAGAAAAGCATCCTTTCTCAAAAAAACTAGTGCAATGAAAAAGAAAACAAACTTCTCATACTTTCGTGGATAAAACACTTTATTAAAATAAAGTGGTAATCAAAATCAAAAAAAAAAATTTAAAAAAAAACTCTGATAGAAAATGTGGAACAAACTGTTAAAACGAAAAATTATGTTTGGGGAGTCTGATCTGAAGACCGTTGTGATCTGACGACTGTGGGGTCGAAAAAGGCGCAGTTCCAGAAAAAGGCGCGAGGTCAGCAGAAGGTCGGCGTCGCCCGACGTGGACAGAACAACGTTCGTTTCATTCATTCCTTCCTCTTCGTTCCAACATCAGCGCCTGCCATCCACTTCGTGTTTTTTTTGCGATTCTTCTCGGTTTTTCGTAAGCTTTCGTAATTCGGAGTTCTTTCAGTTTTCTTTATGAACAGAGTTTTCAGTCACAGTCAAACAAAGATGGAGCCGAACTACTATCAGAACGATCTCATGAGAGAAATCAGCTATCTGAGGCGCGAGATAAGTATCGACAGGGTTTTTGCAAAAATGAATCGGTCAGCATCGTCCTTTTATCACAGGAAAACGCACGTATACGATACGATTCGCTGGTCACAAGGGTGGAAATTTTGATGACTTCTCACGAAAACCTTATAAAGGCGATCGAAATGGCAAAAGGTATTCTCACAAAATCTTTTCGATTTCTCAAGCAGTTTTTATAATACTCTAAAAAGCTCGAAGAGTTTTGAAGAAAAATTTGCTTTTTACTAATTTTTTTTTCAAATTTGTTTTTGATTGTTTTCTTCTGTGCGTTGAATTTCAGTTATTTATTCAAAAAGAGCGGTGGCCGAGGTTTTTGAAAAGGTGGTGGCAATCGAATGAAAATCGTGATAAGAACGGCGTACGCGTCCCGCCTTCTTCTCCTCCTCGCCTATCAAGCAGGAAGAAATTGACAATAGCGATCATGCCAAAGTTAGAAAGTTAGCTGGTTTAATTCGAAAGCAATGATTATTTCAAAAGATTACAAAGAAAGAGCTCGCATTTTTTTCGTAGGATCATTTGAGGGAAAAACCTACATTCTAATTTTGATTTTTTCTTCAGATGAGCTTTGGGCAAACCTGGCGAACTTTGGGCAAGCCGGTGAGCAGCGTCATCCAGATGTCGGCAACCATCAAACTAGCGAGCAAATCACGCCAAACGATCAAACGAAGGCTTTCAACGTCATCCAGCCAAAACCGCGAAGAAACGTCTCTTTCGGTGCAGTCACTGTCATGAACAATTCACCGAATAACAACATGGCCTCGCAGGATTATCACTATAACGGTATTGAATTATCAAGTTACTTTCGCTCACTCCAAAGAAAACTGACTTCAAAACGGCTGGAAATAGTTTCATTTTTCAGAAGGTACTCGACGGTTCCATCATCCGTCGACCGTGTATGTGGACCCCACATACACGGCAAATCGTGAAAGAAGCAGCGCTTCAGAGTCGACTCAACCGTCCAACCACAACATGACTGCACGGGCGGAGGATTTTCCCTTCAGTGGTAATGAATTATCAAGTTACTTTTGCTCACTTCAAAGAAAACTGACTTCAAAACGGCTGGAAATAGTTTCATTTTTCAGAAGGTACTCGACGGTTCCATCATCCGTCGACCGTGTATGTGGACCCCACATACACGGCAAATCGTGAAAGAAGCAGCGCTTCAGAGCCGACTCAACATTCCAACTACAACATGACTGCACGGACGGAGGATTTTCCTTTCAGTGGTAATGAAGTATCAAGTTACTTTTGCTCACTTCAAAGTAAACTGACTTCAAAACAGATGAATATAGTTTCATTTTTCAGAAGGTACTCGACGGTTCCATCATCCGTCGACCGTGTATGTGGACCCCACATACACGGCAAATCGTGAAAGAAGCAGCGCTTCAGAGCCGACTCAACATTCCAACTACAACATGACTGCACGGACGGAGGATTTTCCTTTCAGTGGTAATGAATTATCAAGTTACTTTTGCTCACTTCAAAGTAAACTGACTTCAAAACAGATGAATATAGTTATGATTTCTAGATTCCTATAACCCAAAATAAAAAGGTTGAATTCGATTCTCGGAAATTCTCAAAATGGAATGTCGGCAATCGACATCTGATTGCCGAACAGCCTTGGTCCAGATGAATGATACGCTCTAAAAGTAGATTTTTTTTTTTGATATTTTCGGATATGCCAATGATGTGCTGGAAAAAAAACGGCCAAATATAGTTTTATTTTCCAGAAAAGTCTCATGTGGATCCGATCGTTGTCCCGCCGATCCAAAGACCAAAACTTGACGAAAACGGCTCTTCAAGCCCAATGGAAAAAGTTGCACACAACAAAGACAATTTTAAGAAGACGTCTAAGGACTCCACAGGTAAGATAAGGACTCCAAAATGACCAAGTTACTCTTTCTCATTTCAAAGAAAACTCAAACCGAACAAAAAAATAAAGCTTATTTGAATCTTCTAGTTTTTTTCCAGATAAAGTAAGCTGAAAGATGAGATCTGATAGATTTGAGAAATCCACTATTTAAATAAAAGAGGAATTAAAGACAGACAAAAAAATCGAATTTTACGAACTGTTTTTCAGTGATCGAACTATTTATAGATAAACTCGGAAATTATTGAACCCCATTGAAAATTCAATTAGGAATCTATGAAATGCGACCAAATGTTAGGAAGCTGTACGATTAGACCGACCGATCTAGGAAATCAATTTTATGGATCTGACAATTTTGAATCTGTGCCAAAAAAAGTATTTCATACAATTTGCAAATGACGCCATTGGTTATTTCGACATGGCATGTGTGCTGAAAATGAGATCAGGGTCCAAAAATATTTAGGTCATCGACTATTTCATTTCAATATTTTTCACAAAAACACCAACTGCAATACAGAATGAGCAATTTTCAATCAAATGATGTTTTTTTTTAGGAACTTCCGTCGACAAGGATCTCAGCGCACTTCGTGCCAAAATTCTTGAAGCCCTCGACCCCGATTTTCAGCGCGAATTGCAGCCACCGGTGAAAGGAACGGATACCTCTTTATTGCCATTGGTCTCTCAGAGCCGTGACGTTTTCACCACCCATTTATCAGGTTACTGTTTCTTTTGTAGAAAAAAAACAAATAAGTCTTTTTTCAAACTTCTTCATTTTTGGCCTCTCATGGTCATACCGACTTAGCTACAGATGAAAATGATTGCTTTTTCTAGAAAAAATTACAGTTCCTATGCGAATAGGAAGAAGCTCTTTGAAAATGATTAGCGTTCACTGATTACCGCAAAAGTGTGTAAAGTTTCGATTAAAAAACAATTGATAAAAAGAAAATTGAGATGAAAAATTTGAAACGACAGTCAACAATTTTTTTTTCATTGATAGAAGCTCTCCTCTTTGTGAGAATTTCTCCAAATATCAGGCTGTCCAATAATTCTTGTCCGAAAATTTTCAAACTTCCATAACCTTTTAGAAGGTTCTCCAGAGTTTCACGCTAGGGGTATATAAGGCGCAGTCGCCGCGTCCAGCTACCGGAACAAGCTAAAATGGAACAACGTCGAATTCGTACGTTCGTGTACTACGAGCTTCTGCTGGGCAACGACACGGGCACCGCGATCGCCAACATCTGCAGAGCGTGCAAGGAGAACGAAGTGTCCCAACGCACAGCCAGGCGTTGGTTCAATCGTTTCGAGAGCGGCGACACGAGCCGACCTGCTCCCGCTGAAGATCATGCTCTGCTGCTGGTGGGCCGCCAAGAACTGCTGTACTTCGAGCTGCTCCCGCAAAGCTGGACGGTCACCGCCTCCATCTACAGCGATCAGCTCGAGAAACTAGCCGCTGCCATCGGAGAAAAGCGTCCCCGACGTGCCTCGGTCCATCTTCAGCACGACAACGCGCGCCCCCACGTGGGGAAGGAGACCCAGCAGAAGTTAGCAACGCTCGGCTGGGGAACGGCTGCCTATCCGCCGTATTCTTCGGACCTCGCTCCCTCCGACTACCACTTGTTCCGCCCGCTCAAGCACCGGTTGGCCGGAAGAAAATTCGCCAACTACGACAACCTCAAATCCGACTTCGCGGACTTGTTTGAGTCGCAGCCCCCGGAATTCTGGGCGAAGGGCATCGGCGACCTGCCCAATCGATGTGCCACTGTCGTGAATAACTGTGGTGATGATATTGTTGAAAAGACTGGTTAAAAAAAAATAAAAAATGGTGAAATTTTTCGGACAAGAATTATTGGACAACCTGGTCAGTATCTTTTTCCTCAAAAAAAAAAAAATTGAAAAAAAATTTTTTTGCGCAGTATCGATATTAACTTCACTAGAAGCCAATTGTTCATATTGAAAATATTCTTGTGGGAGTGTCAGAAACAAATTGTTCTTAATCTAAATGAGCAACGATCTGATTTCCTAAACTTTTCCATTTTCAGGCTTCAACAACAACACCGAGGAGCATGTGGATGATATGAAAGACGACGAATCGGACAAAGAGTCTTGGTGTTCGGCCCGTAGCCGTCTGAGCTCTTCTTCGGAGCTCTCAGGTTTGACCTGAAATTTTTTGGGATCCGAAATGAGAAGAAATACCGGAGTTACCAAAAAAAAAAAACGCAGTAACCGCAAATAATTCATGAAGATTGTCTTTCAACAAAAAGTTTCAAGAGTTTGGAGAAGACTTTTCAGTTCAAAAAACTTCTGTGAACACTTGCATTTTCTATCGAAAATTGAAAAAGTTAATATTTTGAATCATACAAAGGCGCAAAAGAGTCGACTTCTTTTAATGATAAGTCAAAATGATAAGCTTTATCATCACAAGTTGTAGTTGATATTAAAACACATCAATATGGAAAAAGTTCCAAATACCGCAATTCCAGACCCTGGAGAGGAACAAGGTCTATTCCACTGCTTTACAAATTTTTGCATTGTAAAGCAGTAGAATAGACACCGAAAAGCAGGGACCGAGCTTTTCAAATAGTCGGTGAGGGTGACCCTTGAAAAAATGGAAAATGTCTGCCTCTTTTCTGAATAAAAAATTGGAAATTATATCAACTCATTTTTTTTTTCAGAAGAATGGGAGGGTTTGCCTCGGTCGTTCTCTACCAACACAACAGTTGAAGCTCAAGTCGAAGAAGTCGAGGATGGGATGCGCCGTAGAAGGTCTCCCAGTACGTCTTCCATCAATTCCTCCGATGAAGTCGACTTCAGTTAACTTGATTCACACGTTCTCTCATCACTTCATCACTTTTCCATTCTAAATTTGGAACTGTAAAAAAAAAGCCTTTCCATAAGCTAGTTGTATTCGTAACATTCGAAATTTTGCCTCTTAATCAAATGGAAGTTTCATTCCATTCAGAACCTGCTCTCTACAATGTCTTCCCTTATTTTAATGCCCGTTTTTACTTGCCGGTACTTATTGATTTTTATCAAGTGTAATCGGTAGCTTTCTTTTTCTCGTCAACATTTCGTTCAGTTTTACCAGTCTCCGGACAACTTTACTTTTTACTTATTCCTGCACAGGTCCTTTGATTTTGAGAAGTTGATCTTTATAGTTTTACCTTTTTGAAATCTTGTATTCGCACCACTCATTCACAGTTATTATTCGAGCCTTTTCTCATAACCAACGTTCCCGTATTCCATCAATCTCATAGCTATCTTTCGGGTATCTACCGCAATTTCCAACTTTCCTGCAAATATCCACTCATTTTGATAGTCAAGAACTACAGGCTCCGCTCATGTCAACTGATATTATATTAAAATAAATAATTGTTGCTTCTATCGCATTTGGTCACTTTAAATGTTTTCTTTATACTATAAACATACTCCTGTTCACGATTACCTAATTAGTTCAAACAGGATTCTGAAAACCTTCTTGTTCATTTTAGTGCTTTCGTCGCGATTATTTTCAGAAAACCATGATTTATCTTTATAAAGAAAAACATTCAGGACTAAAACAACTAATGATAAACCCGATAAGAGGATAAAAAACTGAAATGAGAAATTTTTGAGGCGAGAATACAGGGAGTAGAGCTTCAACCAAGAAGATCTTGTTTTTTGATGAGGTTGTAGTATTTTCCTTTGCGCTGCATCAGCTGGGAATGGCTTCCGGATTCCTGAACGCGGCCATGTTCAATGTAGACAATGACGTCGGCGTTTTGGATGGAGGAGAGTCTGTGGGCGATGGTGATGCATGTACGGCCTTCTCGTGCGCGGTCCAGAGCCTCTTGCACTGCCTGAAGGAAATACTTTGATTACTCTGTTGATTATTACAACTGAGTTGGAAAAAAATAAAAATTTTTTTAGTTTTTTTGAAAATCAAGGATAATGCTACTTGAAGTTCGAATACTGGTCGCAAAAAAAAAAACTTTTTTCATATCTTCACTTTTCGAACCAAACTATTTCTTGGATAGCTTGGCTGATGGTGATTAATATCAAGGTGAACATTGAAAGCTTCGAAAAAAAAATTTCATCGTCACAAGATTTCACTTCACAAGGTTTTCTGCTTCAGGATGTTTGCTGTAATTCTAATTTTCTGAAACCATTCTGAAGCATTCACGCAACTTAAAGTTTCAAGTTTCTTATCTACTACCTACCCTTTCACTCTCAGAATCCAACGCTGACGTGGCTTCATCCAAAAGCAGAATCTTGGGGTCTCGGACCAGTGCTCTGAAATCATTCGATTTTCAATATCTCTTAAAGATTGGATTAAATGTACCTTGCGATTGCAATCCTTTGCTTTTGCCCTCCAGACATCTGAGTACCTTTCTCACCGACTTCGGTATCGATTCCGGCCGGTAAATTGGAAATGAAACGATTTGCGTTGGCCAATTCCAAGGCTTGCTTCACTGATTCTATTGGCACCTAGAAAAATCGTACTTTTCAGAATTTGATATGAGAAGTGAATTACGTCTTTCAATCCGAAGCAGACGTTATCTCGGATGGTTCCGGAGAAAAGACGGGGCTCTTGTCCTACCAAAGCCATCTGTGTGCGGAGATGGTACAAAGACAAGGTTTTGATGTCGGTTCCATCGATACGCTGAAAAGTATAGCGTTTTGAGTAATTTACCAAACATTCGAATTCCCATTTCATTTGTCGGATTTCGATCTGGCTCTGAAAAACTCATTCGATCGAAAGTTGACCTTATTCCGCTTCCAAACAATTATTCTCGGAACTAACTGTAACATTTCTCGAAGACAGCCGCTGAATTAAGCAAAAAAAAAACAGATATAAAGCATACCACAAAGCCGCCAGTAGTGTCGTAGAAGCGCTCAAGCATGGATATGATTGTACTTTTTCCAGATCCAGAAGGTCCAACAAGAGCGATGGTTTGTCCTCTTTGAGCAGTGAATTGTAACCCCTTCATGACCGGTTGGCGAGGTCTTTGAGGATAGGAGAACTTGACGTCTTCAAACAGGACGTTTCCTCGGATTTCCTGAAAAAATATAGAATTCGAAAATTTCTCAGAGGAATAATTACAGGTCTTCCTCCTGCGATGACATCTCCAGTTCTAGGCTTTCTGTAGATGATGTTGAAGAGAAGCCCAGCTGCCGTCTTCGCCTAGAAGTTTGTTATTTTAATCTTCAAATCCGACTTTCTGATTACCTTGACAAACTCTGGGAAGTATTGAGCCGAGTTCATCACAGCGACAGAGCCAAGAAGACAGGCAATGATGGCCCTAAATTTTCCGTTATTTCTTGATTTTATAGAAATTTATATGAACCGGAAAGTGTCGTCGGCAGTTTTGTCTAGTTGATAGATGATTCGGATACCTACAGCGTAAGAAAAACACATCACGAAGTACATGAAAGATTGCGACAGAGAGAAATTGACCGCTTCGATTAGCCCTGAACCTCAATGATTTTCATATCAAAATGAGATATTGGTTACCTTTAGACAGTTCATTGCGCTTTTGCTTCTTGGATGTCGTGACATAGGTATTGTTGAATTCTTCGCATCTTGTGAGAAGTTGGATGGTTCGGACGTTTTCGATAATCTCGATGGCAATCTGAAAATAAGATGTTTTTATGGTAATAAGGTTCAGCTCAGGTAAACTTGGAATTACTAAGGTGTGAAAAAGGGGAGAAAATATTACCACAATGAATATTTTAGATTTTTCGAAAGGGATTGAAATTACGAGCATGTGGGAATCGATAGGAAGATAAAAATCTTCCAAAAATTTCCTTTGAACTTAGATTTAGTATCTTGATTAAAAAAATTATGTTGTCATTCACTCACTCTGCCAGCTTCATCGTGCTTGATTGCTTGAATATTTCGCACACTTATAAGCTGCGCCAAGCCAACCATTGTGATGGAAAGCAATATTATAAGACCTGTTCCGAGAAGGGCAACCTGGAAAAATGGTTGAATATCCAAAAAGAGTTTTTATATTATACCTGCCAACAGTAAATGTAGGAAATAATGATACAGACGACGATCGCTGTGACGGCGTAAATGACTTGAAGCATTCGAGCGTCGACAACCTGAGAGCAAAACTTTTGATTAATGAAGCATGAAAAAAATATTCACTGAAACGTTCATAGTTCAAGACCGAAACTTTTTCAAGTCTCAAAAAACTTTTTTCTTTTCCCCAAAGTTATAAAGATTCGTACATTTTCAGATTTTTCTTAGTCATCCTTTCTCTTTTATCGTGGTTTTCTGTTTCTCGAAAATATCTCAAGTTCCTTGCTAAAAGAACACGCTTGCTTTGAAAGATACTTACAGCTTTGATGTTGGGAGCGTCACTGGCAAGCCTTGTGATCAGTTTTCCAGGTGAATGAGCTGGATTGTCAAAAAATGAGGCGTCTTGGTAGAGAAGGTTGTTGAAGGACTGAACTCGGAATCGCATGCCCAAGTTTTCGGAGACCACAGCGAAGAAAATTGACTGAAAATATTACAATGAAACAAATGTCTATGAAGATATGTATGAATCCAAGTTTTTTCTTTGCTGATTTTCAGTCTGAGAGATTTTGAAATTCGAAGAATCTTGGTGTGATTATTAAAAAGAAATAACTACAGGTCACAAAGCTAGGCGGAATATTTTTCCCGTTGCATTTTTTTCTACACGTCCTCAAAACTTAGTGAGATTTTTTTCCAATAATTAAAAAAAGAAGTACTAACACTGAGTAACTGGAAGATAAAAACGCCGACACCGACGGACGCGAATGCAATGACGGCCATGGCCATTCTATGCATCATTCTGCCGCCGTAAGGATAGAACGTGAACCCTTCGAAGACCCATCCAAAAAGCAACGACAACGCAGGCAGCTCCAGACCGCGTATCACAGCGCAAGCCATTCCGAGGGTCAAATACAGATAGTTGCCCTTGGCGTTTTTGAAGACGTCAATCAAGCCTGCGTCGATCACGCCGTCCTGAAATTTCGTCTTATGAGTGCAAATAAAAGGGAAAGAATCTTCCGGAAATACGAATCAATGGTCTTTTGGGACAAAAAAATCCGTTTATTTAGTTATTTTTGAAACATTAACCGAGTTTATCGTATAGTCAAATTTTAGCGCCGAGTCTTACAAGCGGGAAAAATTTACTTGAAATTATACTCCATTAAAAAAACGAATTTTCCTATGAGATCATTTTATTTTCAAAAACTTATGAGTTTATTCATGGTCCGTGTTTTCCAAAACTTTTTCAGAACTTAAAACAGTTTTGCTATTATCTTCTCACCTCGTCCATGACTTTCTTGACTTCCAACGCGAATGCTTCGTTCTCAGCGTCCGTAGCAGCGTTGCCAGTATGACGACCGAAGGAATCATTGACAGAATTTCCCCTCTGGAAAGCGTCGGATCCAGATCTTTTAGACCCTCGCAGCGAAGAATCTCTGGAGCTGGCATATTCGACAGGAGGTTCATCACTGAAAGTTTTCATTCCATGGGTTCAAAAATTTTTGATGATTTAAGAGAAACTTTTTTTTTCTCAAAACAAAAATAAACTCACTAAAGATCGATCTCCTCTTCCTCGATTTCGTTCTCATCAGTCTCCGGCTTGAACTGCTGAGCCTTCACCAAGTCGTAATACCTTAAAAAATCCGATTGCTATTCAGAAAATCTCCTCGGGTCTCTTCTTACTTTCCACCAAGTTTGACCAACTCAGCGTGGTTTCCAGCCTCAGTGATAACTCCCTTATCGAAGTAGACGATGAGGTCAGCCTCACGAATCGTCGAAAGTCTGTGGGCAATCATTATAGTGGTCCTCCCTTTGGCCGCGTTGTTCAGTGCTGACTGGAAGGGAAAGATGATAATTTGAAGTTTGAGAGCTTTCCATACCTGCACGACACTTTCACTCTGGGCGTCAAGAGCCGAAGTAGCTTCATCAAGAAGTAGGACTTTTGGATTGCGGATGAGGGTTCTTGCGATGGCAACGCGTTGCTTTTGGCCTCCAGACAGCTGGACACCGCCGTCACCGATAAGAGTGTCGTAGTTCTAAATGACTTTCCTGTTAAAGGATGTTTTAAAAAATTTTCCATTACTTCTTTCTTTTGAGAATTTCTGTTATTATGAAAGCTTCAACTCTGATGGAACGTTAATAGAATCAAAAGAGTGATTTTTACCTTGGGCATCTTCATGATGAATTCATGAGCATTTGCCATTTTGCAAGCCTCAACCATTTCTTCTCGAGTAGCTGCAGGATTTCCCATTAAAAGGTTGTTGTGAATCGTTTCGTTGAACAATATGGGCTCCTAAAATGTTTACCTAGACATTTTCAATATTGGAATTCACCTGTTGGACAATTCCAATCTTATTTCTCAGCCAATCGATGTTTAAGTCGCGGACATCAACTCCATCAAGAGTTACTCTCCCTGACTCAGGCTCGTAAAGACGAGTAAGAAGGCCAACAGAAGTTGATTTTCCGCATCCTGAATGGCCGACAAGAGCCACTGAAGTACCAGGCTCAACAGTCAAATTCAGTCCATTCAGAACTTGGACATCTTTGCGACTTGGATAGCGGAAGTGGACGTTTTGAAAGGACACCCTGCCGGTGACTGTATTTGGCACAATGCCTGTTTTGGAGTATGGATCGATTCGAGGCACACGTTCTATGGTTTGATAGATAGTGGCCGCTGAGACTCTGGCGTTGAGCAGGACCATCATGTGAGGCGAAATGAGTCCCAGAAAATAGGCGCCAAGCAACATGGACATGACGACGATGAAGACGTCTCCTGGAGTCTTGATGATGTCGACCTTCAGAAGATAGGCGCCGTAGAGAAGACCGCAGCCGAGGAAGGCATAGAGCCAGAAAAAGAACAAGCCTCCGAAGAATCCACTCCAGAAACCTTTCCACAGAGCGAATTTTCTGCCTTTTTCAAGCTCAGCTGAGTACCTGTAATGAAAGGATGAAATTTAAAAAGGAAATTTTCGGAATACCTGTCCACCATTTCTTGTTGGCCATTGAAAGCTTGGACGGTTCTAACGCTCATCAGTGATTCTTCAGCGATTGATCCAGCTTTTCCGACGCCTTGGAGCTCACTGATAGTAGTTGAAGTCATTTTCTGAAAAAAAGATGCATTGAAGCGTACTCTTTAGTTTACGAGTATAATACTTTTCGAAAAAAAAAATCAGATCCCTAGAGGTTCAAAGGCGTGTTTCTAACGTTAGCAAGATGTTTTAGACAGCTTCTCGGATGAAAATTTAAAATATGATCACTCTAGTTTAGATAATTTTTTAAGACAAGGTTAAACGTACCCTGGCCAGAAGAGACATCACTAAGCAGCAGACTGGTGCGACTCCAAGCATCATCAGAGCCAATCTCCATTCGTAAATGAATGAAATAACAATAGCAGCGATGAGCATGGCAACTCCTCTGATGAGAACTCCCAGTTTGTCTCCTATGCCCTCGCGGATCCTTTCCATATTGCTGCAGATCAAACACTTTTATCAAAAAATTGTGACTTCCACAAACTCGTTAAGCTTGGTCGTGAGGGTTCCTGAATGGTGCTTGTCGAACCATCCAGCATTCTGCCTCAGAACGGACCGGATGAACCGATGACGCATTTGAGCCATGGTTCTTGTGCAGCAGTGTTGGAAACACATGTACTGGAAAGAATAAACATTTTTCAATCTTTCACGCCTTTTTACTCTTTTGGAAACATTGGTAAAGATTTTTGAATTATTCACTGCCAGAATTCGATATTTCTTATAGCCCCTCTATAAAGGTTGTGAATTCAAATCGATTAGTTTTCAGACCTTGCAAGCCATGGAGAACCAGAGACTTCAGACCCTACCTGAATGAAATTGATGATGAGGATGAAAATACCGACGCCGAGGAAAATATACACGTTTTCGTTCGCTTTATCTCGAAACTGCTTTGTGTTTGGTGCATAAACAAGCAGGGCATTTGTTACTCGACCACTGAAAGTTTGGTAAACTTGCGATAATCCGAAAATTTTCAGAAACTTACGAGATAAGAGCCAAAATAGGCTGACCAACACCGCTGACGATGGCGCAGAGAGTTCCCACAGTGAGCAGGAAGATGTCGAAAGGTTTGGCATAACGGAACTGAATAAAATAATTTCTTGACATCATTTGTACTTTGAATGCAAGAAAAAGCTTATATTTATCGCGTTCTTAACCGCAACCGGCTGAAGTCATGATACGTTGTATAAGTAAAACAAAGATTTTCGGTTTTTAAAACTTCTAATGTTCCTTTTTTCTCAGAAGACATCAAGACTTTGTGGTCCAAGAGGAATCTAAGATGATAGAACACTTTTTCAAACCATTCTCCTTCCAAGCATAATTCTCCAATTTTTTAATGCTTCCGGTGCCGATTTCTGACGAAGTACAAGCTTTCTCTACAGTTGTGCTATACGAAAATTTTTGTTAACATTTTGTTTGCGTCAACATCTTTCTCAACCCTAATCACCTCGCAAACATTTGAAAATTTAAAAGAATCAGTCGACTGATCTAACATGTAAACTTACGACAGCAATTTGCTGTTCTATTTGCCGACTTCATTACGTTGGCATAAAAGTGTGGAGAGTGCCGAAGAAAACTGGCAATAGAAAACCATGTTTACCCAAGGTAAACTACGCGAACTACATGTTTGGCTTCTTAAGAAAAGTGTGTACAATTGGTTTTTCTAAAAACTAGGATGATTTTTTGAGTTCAGCAAGTTCAAACATCTCACAATAGAAGCAAAAAAACTTACCAATCCAAATACAGAAACAGGCTCGACATCTAAGGGTTGATCGGCCAAATCGCCACTGTAATGAGGTTTTTTTCTTAATTATAAAAAAAGTTTCGAAAAAAATGAGGCGTAATGATATAAGGTTAAAATATTCAGCTTTATTTCATTCAAAACTGAGTTAACCGAAAAAATCTCATAAATGATTTTGAGCATTACCTTTGTACGGACGCGCTTTTTTCACAACTCGTAAATTTTTTCGGAGATCGACAAAATCACAAATGTTCGAAATAAAAAAAAAACTAGAAACGTCCTTTCTTGAAAACTGGGAGTCAACAAAGAATGAAATATTGAAAAATTTTATCTTGGACTTTGAAATTATGTTGACGGCAGGAAATTCGCAGGTTATCAATATAATGACTTTTTCATGGAATGAATTCAAAGTTGCGAACATTTCCTTTTCCAACCCTTCCCAACCCAGGAAATTGTATTTTCACTGTTTAAACTCACCGACACAACATATAATTAATGATTTTCTCGCCAAGAGATGGCGTATATACAAATTTTCGGTCATCGTCGTCATCTTCAGGTCCTATTTCGCCTTTAGTAGGCTCGACCACTGCAGGAATCGCCAGAACCTGAAAATGGCAATTTTTTTCTGCTGTCCACCAATTAGAACTCACTGTGCTTCTCTGAGAAGCTCTAGGATGGGAATCGGTGAAGCCCCTTTCTAAGGGGCTAACCTTATCGGTCATTTGAGTCGATCGTCTACTCGTTTTCGTTCATGTATAAAATGGGAATTTCTCTGAAACCGGTTTTCTAAAGAAAAAGAAGATTTGATAAGTCGGAATGAACCGAGTTGGGGCAAGTTTGAAAAAAAGGTAGATGATCTTGAAATAAGTGAAACCCAAATAACAAGAACCGCTGGAATGAGGAGCTGATGTTTTTTTTTGAACACCTCAGTTTTGGGTACTTTGAAAACAAAAAAATGAGCTTTCTTGAAAATGTTTCATTTTCTCTTTTTGGGTGAGAAATATACAAAGGCGAATTTGGATAAAAAAAGATTTTCGAAATTTTTTGAGGTACTGAACTTTCATAAAATAACTTAAAATAACTTTCATAAAATAACTTAAAATAACTTTCATAAAATAACTCGCAAAGGACGACTATGAACTGAAAGAACGCTGTTTCGAATTTTACAAGGAATTCTCCTAAATCGAGGCAAAATTAGTTCAGGACTTTTAGAAGACAAGACGTCGAGGCAAAGGGCGAAGCTGCGAATTTCCAGGAGCCACTTGGTTTAAATATAAGGAAAATTTTCTAGGAGCTACACATAGTTTGTGCTGAGCATACATTGTCCCGCGGTGGTTCATACGATGACAAAGAGAAACAGACATAACTTCGTGTAGAAATGGCGAGACGCAGGTTAAAATGTGGTTTCTACACAAACGCTTCTTCTCAGTGGCGTCCGGTTGTGCAATCCCGAGATTTTCAAACTCGGAACTCTGATGTAGATGTGAGAAAATCACAAACTACGTAAATTTGATTCTCGTGAAGACGGCTCTCTATCCGGATGCATTTTTACAATAGAGGTTTAACGTTAAAACCCATCTTGAGGCTGATCTCATCCGTCCCTTGAGTTTGTTTTTCAGTTCAAAAACATTTTGGTACAACTTTTTGAATACTCGAAATTATCTCGTTATTAAAGAACTTTACGTGTACAAGTTTCTCAAAAATCTGAAGATGGGCGCTGGAGTCCACTTTATCGACAACGAATGTTGTTCGAGGTTTATTTTTGAGGCCGAGAAAATCGAAGATTCAAGACTCTTGAATTCTTCGAGCTGACACAGCCGCAGATTGTCAACACATACTCGCAGACCCAGATCCCCGAAGAATCTCTTGTTCATAATATCGGGTCCTTTTCTTGGAAATTTCCGGGTTTTTCTGACCAATAGTCTTCCTGGACCTATTGCCCATCTATCTGAACACTTTCCAAACTAGTAGTATACATTGCGGGACAAAACTATAAGACCCCCTCACTTTTTTGATTAAAATCAAACTTTTACCCAGAATCTCTCTCAATGTTCCAATAAATTTCTGTTCATAACAACTTTGAGCATCTTTCAGCTGCGGTTGAACTTCCTTTCAATTTGAGAAATCTACGAAATTTGTTTTAAATTTTTGAATTTCTGTTTTTTGGAAACTTTGGGCTTTCTGGCTGTTTTTTTCGAAATCAGCTAAAAAAATTTTTACGTTCTATAACTGTAAATTAGACATTTTGAAATAATTTCATAACAAAAAAACCCGATCAAAAAAAGTTTGAAGGACTCGAAAAAAATGACTTTTTTGATGATCAAAACCGTCATTCTATCGGGTTGAGGTTGAAATTTCGAGTATTACTTCATTATAAACATGCTAATGAAGCTTCAAACAAGCTGGAAACGTGTTTAAGAACGTTTCAAATAAAGCTTTAATGCGAAAAAAACCAAAAAAATTTTTATTCTTTTCAACCTTTACCTATTTTTGATTGACGCCAATAATGGAAAAAAAGTTAACAGACCCATAAAACGATTTTTTTAAGTTTTATATCATTTCAAAATTTTTCAAAATTTTTTTGAATTGTGTACATGTTGCTCTATTAATAGTTGGAAACAATTCAGAGCGCAAATAAAAAAATAAAACGAAAAAAAGTTAGTTTCTGAAAAAGGCCATCAAAGTGAACCAAAGGACTTTTTAAAAACAGTTGTTAGCAAACTAAATAGTGTGCCTTTAGACTTCAAATTGTATCCGATGAGAAGCTGAAAATTCCTAAGTACATGCCAAGACTAATTCTTCTTTGTCGAGTATCATCTCATGGAGTAATACTCGGAATTTCAACCTCAACCAGATAGAATGACGGTTTTGATCATCAAAAAGTCATATTTTTCGAGTCTTTCAAACTTTTTGATCGGAATTTTTTTGCTATAAAATCATTCTCAAATGTTTAACCTTTAGTAATATAACAGAATTTCTGGTTGCTCTCTGAAACGAAACACCCAGAAAACCCAAAGTTTCCAAAAAATCAGAAATTCAAAATTTAAAACAAATTTCGTAGATTCCTCAAATTGAAAAGAAGTTCAACCGTAGCTGAAAGATGCTTAAAGTTGTTATGAACAGAAATTTATTGGAAAATTGAAAGAGATTCTGGGTAAAAGTTTGATTTTTAATCAAAAAAAGTGAGGGGGTCTTATACTGTAGTTTTGTCCCGCCTGATTTTTCGTTTTTCCTTTCTCATTTGCTTCAACGGCAACCGACAGAGACCAAAGTTGGTATGCGTGGGTTTTCAAAGACGCAAACTCTATTGACATCAACAGTTTTTTTTTTAGGACATCTGCCTTTTCCAAAAATTTGAAAAGGCAGGGGGATCTTATAGTTTTGTCCCGCACTGTAGAATCGAGGGATTATAATACCATTTTCGACATTTCTCTTTTCTGAACGTTTTTTTTTCGTTTTCACCTCATTAACAACACTTTTTTGAAAAAAGTATGAAATGAGTGAACTTTTGCACTAAAAGTGCTTATTTTCAATGAGTTTTATGTATTAGGTTGGTGCGTAATTCTTGATGGTTTTTTTCAAAAATACCTAGTTCTGCTTCAGTTTTCTTCAGGAAGCTGAGGTTGCTACAGATTATGTTATACTTGTTCACCTTTCTTTCACGAAAAAACAGAGAAAAACCAGCAGTCGCCGTCTATCGCAATTTTTTGTAGGTAATTTTTGGGGTTCTTGGCTCTTGCCATACAATGATTAGCTATCCCAAGAATTTCGGCAACGTCGGTTTTTTCTCGTCGAAAGTCCTCCTATGGGTCAGGTGGTCGCGTTGCATTTCGATGCCCTGCGCTCCGCAATGGAGGCGCAGAGCTATAACTTTTTGAATAATTAAAGAGAAACACTAGTAGTAGCCACTATTACGGTATTCAGAATAGGAAGCTACTTAAAAGTCCTCAAAACTCGACCGATGCTAAACGTCCAAATTGAACGATTTTTGAGAAAAAGCACAATTCAAGGGTAACCTTTTTTTATTCCGTATTTTCTAAAGGAGACGACTTCTGTTCATTAGTTTTTTTGGGATGATAAGTGGACCATCTACTTCCTGTTGAACATCAAGAAACACTGATTGCATGAAAAGGAGCAGCAAACCACGACTTTTAACCGAGCTTTCACCTCAGAAAACAAGGTAGTCTGCTTTTTCTGGTCCCAGGTCGGCAAGGAAGAAAAGCTCCTTTCTGGAACGACAGGATCAGGCGTCTGCCTGGACGATGGCCGCAAGTGGTCAATGCAGATGGAAAATACATCAAATGATGTTCGGCGTTTTGTTTGAAGAAATGGAGAAAATAGAAGAAAAGAAAAAAAAACTATCAAGAATTACGCACCAACCTAATATTTTTGAACAACTTTTTTTGAGATGTAGACTTCATTTTTCATATCCTACACTCCGTTCAATAAGGATAGGACCGCCCTCAATTTTGGATTTTCTCGCAAAATACGGAAAGTTATCAAAAATCTGTAAGAGCCATTCGATTCAAAGTACAAAATAATCCTCAGAGCCAAACTTTCCTTATCCTAGCACTCTTCCTACGAAAATGCCATCGAAAAAACGGTTTTCGACCATTCAATAAGGATAGGACCACCTGGAAATTTTGACTTTCATTGGTAGTTTTTGGTCAATTTCTCTTTTTGATGAGTGGTTTTTTTGTTCTCATATCATTTGTTTCCAAGTTTTCTACGGTATTCCTTTTATATCTGTATTTTAATGTTTGAATTTTAGATTTTTACCTCATTTTCACACTATTAAAAAATCAGTGGATGTCGTTTTCTTTTAAAAAATGGTATTATACAAATTTAGTCTAATAAATGCATTTTACAAAAGATCTAAAGCCTCTGACCAACCTAGACCTTTTCAATCTTGTAAATGAACTGGAAATCAAAAATTTTCGTGAAGTCCCTGTTAGAGACATTTTGCCACCACAAGGAAAAAAAAAGGGTATGCACTCGATTCATTCAAAATATGATTTCTGAAGCTTCTTTTCATGATGACGATAAGTTATTTTTCAGAAAGGCCCACAATTTGGGAATATTTTTTCAGTGACAAAATGTTTGATGGTTCGATTTTTCAAACTTTTGTTGAGTTCTGATTAAATTTCGAAAAATTGCGGGGGAAACCCAAATCCTTTCGTTTCATGGCTCCCCCACAATGGCGACTGGGTTTCCAGAGTTTTTTTGGCATCCGAAGAATGTATATTTTCATGCGCTGCAATCGAAAAAAAATTTCAAAAGGAAAATGTCCATGGATAAGGAAAGGAGATTTCAATTTAAAACAATCACTACTGTTCAAAAAAAATGTCCTAGTGATTTTTTATCTTAAATTTTTTTGCAAAATAAAAAGCTCCCATTTGCTCAAAAATTCTCATCTATGTACGTCTTCCTATATGAAGCATTTACAAATATACTTCTCTATATAGTTTCTTAATACAGTTCAAACAGTTTCGTACGTGTTTTAACTGCTAACCTAAAACGAAACATTTTCGTCCCCGGGGTTTTTGAAAATGAGCTTTCTCGAAAAAATTTTTTTAGTTTATCTAGAATGATGTTTGCTAAGGTAACCGTAACGGCAACAAATAAATTTGTTTCGACCACATACTTTGATCTTGAAAAAAGTTATGAGTGAAAAACTTGGAAAATTTTTATGCCAGGTCATACAAATTTTTTTGCTTTTCGGACAGAATTTATGAGCAATGTGACGAACTTGATCGAGACTCGTTGATTTTTTGACGAGATATGGTTCTTCAAAGTTTCTTACCGTAATCCTTTGAGCTACGGTATCTCGAATACGGCTGGAATGATGCTTTTTTTTTTTGAAATTTCCTAAAAATCGTTTTTACAACATGTTTGATTTAGAAAAAAAATTATCATATACCCCTTTTTCTTCCAACACTGCCTAAACCCCAATGGCGCAGAACTAGCCCGCGCCTAATTTATATGTGGAATAATTACTGGTTGTGGATTTAAAATCATTTCAAAGCGATAAACTCATAAAAAAACAGAGTTCTTTTAGATAAGCTTTGCTTATTATATCTCTTTTGAATGTAATTTTACAAAAATATTTATATTATCATTCAATTCAATTCAATTTATTAAGAAATCAGAAAAATAAAAAAGGCTGTGCTGAATTTTGGTAGATTTGAAAAGCTTCTTGTGCGCGCAACGGTCGACCAATTTTCTCCAAGAACGCTTCGGAAGTCATCTCGCCAACGTGCTCGTGGTCGACCAACAGATCTTTTCTTCTCCTAGGGCCGCCATTCTACGATCTTCTTTGCCCACGTTTCTTCTCCCGTCACGATTTTCTTTGCGATGAACCATTTTGTTCTTGTTGCAACCATTCGAGCATAACGCATCTTATACCTTTCGTGAAGCCAATTGTTTGGTTTTCTATCCATTAGAGTCGCACCAAGCATTCTTCTCATCGTCTTCCTCTGCCGCTTACATGTTCATATCTGTTTTCTTGAGGGTCCACACTTCTGATTTGTATACTACTTCCACTTTTCTCTTTGCTCGGTTTGACATGATATACGTTTTCGAGAAGTTGATGATCAAGCCAGATTTCTTGCTCTCAGTGGCCAGTTGGTTTGCCATTTCTTCTAATTTCTTCGAACTTGAAGCGAACAAAACGATGTCGTCAGCAAACCGGAGGTGTGTGAGAGGCGTCCCGTTAACGGAGATTCCATGTTCACTCCAGTCGAGTCTTCGAAAGACATGCTCAAAGGTAGCGTTGAAAAGGTTGGGCGAAATAGTGTCGCCTTGCCGCACGCCTCTTCCAATTTGTACTGGAACGTCGTGCCCGCGGATTCGGAAAGACACTTTCGCTTCGTCGTAGATGTTCTTGAGAGTGTTGACAATTTTCGAATGAACGCCAAATTCGCTTAGAGCCGTCCGAAGGGATCCGAATTCCACGCTATTAAACGCCTTCTTACAATCGATGAACATCGATTAATGATATATTAATTGTTTAGAATGCGGTCGTTCTTCCGCATTTTTATCGATTATGTTATCTATAAATTTCATCAATTACTCTATGATATATTAATTGTTTTGATTCAATACTAATAGCTCCAGTCTTATTTCTTATTCTACATAACAGGTTAATATTATTATCATTAAAATATGAATGGTCTATTAAATTGCAATTGATATATATTTTATCTGGAATATTTTTATTATTTTTTCTTTAATCATATTATCCACTAAACTATCATTTTTCATCCGCATTTGTACTATGAATTAACAATTCAGACCTCAAATATGATTTATTTATCTCTCCATCAAACTTTATCAAAACTATTTCATAATTTTTAAACATTTTTCTTTGGTAAAAAGTAACTTTCAAAAGTTTTATCACTAGAAGTTAAATGAAGGTTTATGTAAATCAATTATTTACTACAATTTTTTTAGCAAAAATGAATTATGAATTATGACATTTTAGGTTGTTCGGAAAGTTCTTGCGGTTTTTGATGCTCCCCCTTGCAAGAGATTTTTTGAAACTGGATTTCAGACTGGCCTGACGAAGTTATATATCATTTTGAGGTGCGTGGCATGTTTTGCTTTTTAAGTTATATTGTATCATTCAAAACAAAACTGAGTCATTTTCATGTAATTTTGGAAAAAGGAGTAAAAACAGCGATTATAACAGTTTTTTTTCGTTCTTCTCTCAACTAGACTCCTAAGCGTTGAAATCATTCGATATATTTATTATTTGTTCGACACAGTAACTACTTCAAAACATGAAATGGGATTGCTACTGGAAAAATCTTTGGCCAAGGTTATGAGCTCGACAACTGAGGACAGTGATTTTTGAGATGTTTCTACTGCGCGGTAACCAAACGTCCTGGTAACTGCAACTTTGCGAAAAACTTTTTTTGCTGCTTGAGAGAATGTAGAGTTGACGCTAGAAAAAGTTCTTGCCTAGAGAAATTTTTCAGACACCTGAAAAGCTCCCTAAATTTGTACCTCACAAATCTCACTAAAACCATAACGCCGTGTATTCTTCTCGTTTAATTGATAGGCAAATGTGACCTAAATTTTTGAATAAAATAGCATTTTTTGAATCGCGATAACAAAAAAGACGTCTACAACAATTTTCAAGCGTATTATTACTGGATAGCCCAAGGCGCCGCTTTTTTTATAGTTCTTCGAACCCAACCTATCAGTAATGATTCTATGCGATTCAAAATCTATTTAGAAAACAACCCCCATCTTCTCGCTGACTTTCTTAAAATATCTTCTAACTTTTAAACGGTTTGTTGCTGTTTTCAATTTTTAAATTTCCCTTTTTAAAAATTGGTTCTGTTAAGGGTCTTTTCGGCCCTTGAACTGTATTATTATTCGTATTGAAATGATGATGATTATTGACGATTGAGCACGTTCTTGGCTTTTGCCAGCTGTTATAACTTATCATAACTATTCTCAATTTTTCTACTCTACAATATTAAAAGCAACGTTGTTCACAGAACAAAATAAATTTCCACGAATTAGGGTATAAAAAAATTTTTAAAAAAACATCGAAACTAAAAAAAGTCACTTGTTGTCCTGTATCGCGCTTTGCGGAAGTTGCATGTAAAGAATGAACGAAACAAAAAAATATGATTTTTATTTTTATTTTTTTCTCTTTTTTTCAATCCCCACCTTGCTAAGAAACAGCTTCCAAACTTTGAAAATTTTTTTGAACTTGAAAAAAATGCTTCGAAACCGAAACCCTCTCAAAAAAATGCTTCGATAGTTTCAAAGCCCCCAGTAATTCAGGGTTTGATATCATCGACTGAATTTTTTTATGTTTTTTTGTTCTCACATGGTCACCTAATAAGATGGATTTGTTTTGAACAGAAATAAGAACTCTAAGCAGTTTGAAGTCGAATAACAAAAACCGCAATAACTTTCTGAACAACCTAATACATTAACGAGTTTTTTTAACAAATTTTTCATTAATTATCTAAAAAGGATACAAATAGCTCCACAAAAGGGGGCCCTAGGGACCGCAGACAAATTTTCAAAAATTTTTTTTCAACATTGAGCTTTGTTTGATTTGATAGCTGTTTCGCAACGATACAGAAGGTTGAAAAGCCTACGAACCAGTGACGAGCAAGGAGATATGGCGCATTCTCTCCTTGGAATGGTCGATATTCTCAAAACAGGAGGATTTTTCGCTTGTTACGTCAACATCCACATAGTGTGCGACGAAATCTGCGCGGACGTGCGAGAGTATTTAGGAGGGTTTCGAGAAACCATAGAAATGGCTGCTCGCTATTTCTTTTTCAACTTGAAGAAGAACGGCAGACCAGATGCCTTTGTTTATAAAGTATGTTTTTTTGAAGTTTTTCGAATTTAAATAGTTCTCATGAAGTAAATATATATTGCTTTGCAGATTCGTTTTTGATGAAAAGCTGGCTGGTGTTCATTCCGGCCGATTATGTACGGTTACGGATCATGATGGCACAACGAATTATCATATAAAAACGAACTACGGAGGACCAAAAAAATCAAGCTCTCGGTCCGGAATGCCGCCAAATCTTCGAGAAGTATTCGGTTATTCGCTCCTCCAGCTGATTGGAGTTGGACCTGAGTCGCATTTTTTCTGTCCTCCTCCTGGAACTTCGACTAGGACAATCTTTATAGCAACAAAGTCCGTACTCAATTTTGAGAGTAATCGAATGGATCAGCTCACTACGAAGAGCAAAAACATCAAAAACATTCTGATCGAAATTCACGTTCTGTGCTCTATTTTTTGTATAACAGACGTTCATCAAGACAATTGTGGTCAGGTCGATGGGAAAACAATCATCATCGATTTCGCCATACCCTTTCGAGAAGGTATGTTTTTATGAAATGTATAAGAAACGAATTATCAACATTTTTAGGGTATCAACGGGAAAACGTTTGTCAGCTTGTTCGCGAAGGAACGCCCGCTCCTGTTGACACTCTCGTGAACGGCGTTGCAAACAGAGAGCTCCGAAAAGTAGTGGAGGCATGTTCTTCAGACGAACGCATCAAGATTGCAAGAACTGCGATAGATAAATGAAATTTAATAAATTCGATCGAAATTGCTAAGGTTTCTTATGCTCTAGGTTAACTTTGACGATGGTACATTTGTGTCAAAATTTATTATTACGTTACACATATTTTTGTCTTTTTAGAGAAAGTGTGAGATCAATTAATGATAGAAATACTCGTTTTTAGCAAATAACCGTTAAACGCTAAAGGAATAAAGAACAATTAAACTTCACATCTGCGAAATATTGTGCAAAGTCTTCCGTTTTTTCGATTGTTATTCCTTGAGCTTCCATAATTTCTTTCACTGTGTTCGTACGAACCTTAAAAAATCACCATCGTTAAAATTAACCTAGAACATAAGAAACCTTAGCAATCTCGATCGAATCCATTAAATTCCATTTATCTATCGCAGTTCTTGCAATCTTGATGCGTTCGTCTGAAGAACATGCCTCCACTACTTTTCGGAGCTCTCTGTTTGCAACGTCGTTCACAAGAGTGTCAACAGGAGCGGGCGTTCCTTCGCGAACAAGCTGACAAACGTTTTCCCGTTGATACCCTAAAAATGTTGATAATTCGTTTCTTATACATTTCATAAAAACATACCTTCTCGAAAGGGTATGGCGAAATCGATGATGATTGTTTTCCCATCGACCTGACCACAATTGTCTTGATGAACGTCTGTTATACAAAAAATAGAGCACAGAACGTGAATTTCGATCAGAATGTTTTTGATGTTTTTGCTCTTCGTAGTGAGCTGATCCATTCGATTACTCTCAAAATTGAGTACGGACTTTGTTGCTATAAAGATTGTCCTAGTCGAAGTTCCAGGAGGAGGACAGAAAAAATGCGACTCAGGTCCAACTCCAATCAGCTGGAGGAGCGAATAACCGAATACTTCTCGAAGATTTGGCGGCATTCCGGACCGAGAGCTTGATTTTTTTGGTCCTCCGTAGTTCGTTTTTATATGATAATTCGTTGTGCCATCATGATCCGTAACCGTACATAATCGGCCGGAATGAACACCAGCCAGCTTTTCATCAAAACGAATCTGCAAAGCAATATATATTTACTTCATGAGAACTATTTAAATTCGAAAACTTCAAAAACATACTTTATAAACAAAGGCATCTGGTCTGCCGTTCTTCTTCAAGTTGAAAAAGAAATAGCGAGCAGCCATTTCTATGGTTTCTCGAAACCCTCCTAAATGCTCTCGCACGTCCGCGCAGATTTCGTCGCACACTGTGTGGATGTTGACGTAACAAGCGAAAAATCCTCCTGTTTTGAGAATATCGACCATTCCAAGGAGAGAATGCGCCATATCTCCTTGCTCGTCACTGGTTCGTAGGCTTTTCAACCTTCTGTATCGTTGCAGAAAGACAGCCCAGTTTTGAATCAAGGCGTGTTTCTGAAAAAATGAAAATTTAGCACAAAGTAATTTCAGAATTAAGTAGCCTTAGACAAAATATATTTCACTGACTGAATAATAATTGTCTAATTGTCTGTCTGCCTTTGTATTGTTAATCATATCATAACGAGCCGGAAAGTTAATTCTCTAGCTGTATAAACAATTAACAGTAATTCTTAAACATAGATAAGAAATGATAACATAGTTTTTGAACCTCGAAAATTATTAAATCCATACTCTACTATATCTGTATCCAGTAAAAAAACTTCAATAATAATTTGAAAAACTATAGAAGAATGATTTAATACAATTTTTAAATATGAATAGCAAAAAGTTTTTAACTTACCACAACACACGTTTCTTTGTCCTTTAATCCAGCTTCCTTCACAGTGTCTGCTCGAATTAGGGCTCCATTGTATGACAGCTGTTGGAAAACGTGATCAATAGAGAACACCAATTTTATTTGATCCTTCAGCTGAGAAATCTCTCCCTAAAAGTTATCGAAAAAAAATTGGAAGATGAATAAAAAAACAAACTTGGCCTATGGCATTCCACTCGAATTCTTGATGTAGCTTGTCCTCATGATCTTTCAATTCGACAAAAATCTTCATGACTGGCTAACCTGAAAACTACTGAACTTTTAGAGCTCATTTGAACATTTTTCCGCCGCTATTTACTAAAAAGATAACGCCACGAGAAATCACGTAAATCACGCAAAAGAAAAAAACATAAGAAAAAGAAGTCCCTTTCCTATCCACAAAACAGTAATGGAAAAATGCGAGGTTGGCAGTTTCTCGTGATGCCGGCCGTTTCCTCTGCGTCTCTGCCTCCCACACTATCCTAACGCGTTTGCATGTCGCGTCGCGTGCAACTGGGGCAACTGTGTGGTTGTGCTTGGTTTCAGTGAGCAAAATAAAAGAAAGTCACACAAAAAGAAAAAGGAATTGGCGGGCCAGAAGCCTTCCTGGACCTGTTGCTCATCTTTCTGAGTTCTTTCCAAGACCAAAATCTAACGGATCCCGCGGCCCAGGCCCGGATCCCCGAAAAATCTCTTGTTCATGGTTTCGAGTCTTTTTCTTGGAATTTTTCAGGGTTTTCCGGGCCAGAAGCCTTCCTGGACCTATTGCTCATCTTTCTGGATTCTTTGCAAGACCAAAATCTCACGGATCCCGCGACCCAGGCCCGGATCCCCGAAAAATCTCTCGTTCATGGTTTCGGGTCTTTTTCTCGAGATTTTTCCGGGTTATCCGGACCAGAAGCCTTTCTGGACCTATTGCTCATCTTTCTGAATTCTTTCCAAGACCAAAATCTAACGGATCCCGCGGCCCAGGCCCGGATCCCCGAAAAATCTCTTGTTCATGGTTTCGAGTCTTTTTCTTGGATTTTTCCGGGTTTTCCGGATCAGAAGCCTTCCTGGACCTGTTGCTCATCTTTCTGGATTCTTTGCAAGACCAAAATCTCACGGAGCCCGCGGCCCAGGCCCGGATCCCCGAAAAATCTCTCGTTCATGGTTTCGGGTCTTTTTCTCGAGATTTTTCCGGGTTATCCGGACCAGAAGCCTTTCTGGACCTATTGCTCATCTTTCTGAATTCTTTGCGAGACCAAAATCTCACGGATCTTGCGGCCCAGGCCCGGATCCCCGAAAGATCTCTCGCTCATGGTTTCGGGTCTTTTTCTTGGGATTTTTCGGGTTTTCCGGACCAGAACCCTTTCTGGATCTGTTGCTCATCTTTCTGAGTTCTTTCCAAGACCAAAACCTCACGGATCCCGCGGCCCGGGCCCGGATCCCCGAAAAATCTCTCGTTCATGGTTTCGGGTCTTTTTCTTGGGATTTTCCCGGGTTTTCCGGATCAGAAGCCTTCCTGGACCTGTCGCTCATCTTTCTGAATTCTTTCCGAGACCAAAATCTCACGGATCCCGCGGCCCGGGCCCGGATCCCCGAAAAATCTCTCGTTCATGGTTTCGTGTCCTTTTCTTGAGATTTTTCCGGGTTTTCCGGATCAGAAGCCTTCCTGGACCTGTTGCTCATCTTTCTGAATTCTTTCCGAAACCAAAATCTTACGGATCCCGCGGCCCGGGCCCGGATCCCCGAAAAATCTCTCGTTCATGGTTTCGTGTCCTTTTCTTGAGATTTTTCCGGGTTTTCCGGACCAGAAGCCTTCCTGGACCTGTTGCTCATCTTTCTGAATTCTTTCCGAAACTAAAATCTTACGGATCCCGCGGCCCGGGCCCGGATCCCCGAAAAATCTCTCCTTCATGGTTTCGGGTCTTTTTCTTGGGATTTTTCCGGGTTTTCCGGATCAGAAGCCTTCCTGGACCTGTTGCTCATCTTTCTGTGTTCTTTCCGAGACCAAAATCTCACGGATCCCGCGGCCCGGGCCCGGATCCCCGAAAAACCTCTCGTTCATGGTTTCGGGTCGTTTTCTTGGGATTTTTCCGGGTTTTCCGAATCAGAAGCCTTCCTGGACCTGTTGCTCATCTTTCTGAATTCTTTCCAAGACCAAAATCTCACGGATCCCGCGGCCCGGGCCCGGATCCCCGAAAAATCTCTCGTTCATGGTTTCGGGTCTTTTTCTTGGGATTTTTCCGGGTTTTCCGGATCAGAAGCCTTCCTGGACCTGTTGCTCATCTTTCTGGATTCTTTCCGAGACCAAAAATCTCACGGATCCCGCGGCCCGGGCCCGGATCCCCGAAAAATTATCTCGTTCATGGTTTCGGGTCTTTTTTTCTTGGGATTTTTTTCCGGGTCTTTCCGGATCAGAAGCCTTTCCTGGACCTGTTGCTCATCTTTCTGAATTCTTTCCGAGACCAAAATCTCACGGATCCCGCGGCCCGGGCCCGGATCCCCGAAAAATCTCTCGTTCATGGTTTCGGGTCTTTTTCTTGGGATTTTTCCGGGTTTTCCGGATCAGAAGCCTTCCTGGACCTGTTGCTCATCTTTCTGGATTCTTTCCAAGACCAAAATCTCACGGATCCCGCAGCCCGGGCCCGGATCCCCGAAAATTATCTCGTTCATGGTTTCGGGTCTTTTTCTTGGGATTTTTCCGGGTTTTCCGGATCAGAAGCCTTCCTGGACCTGTTGCTCATCTTTCTGATTTCTTTCCATGACCAACATCTCACGGATCCCGCAGCCCGGGCCCGGATCCCCGAAAATTATCTCGTTCATGGTTTCGGGTCTTTTTCTTGGGATTTTTCCGGGTTTTCCGGATCAGAAGCCTTCCTGGACCTGTCGCTCATCTTTCTGAATTCTTTCCAAGACCAAAATCTCACGGATCCCGCGGCCCGGGCCCGGATCCCCGAAAAATCTCTCGTTCATGGTTTCGGGTCTTTTTCTTGGGATTTTTCCGGGTTTTCCGGATCAGAAGCCTTCCTGGACCTGTCGCTCATCTTTCTGAATTCTTTCCGAGACCAAAATCTCACGGATCCCGCGGCCCGGGCCCGGATCCCCGAAAAATCTCTCGTTCATGGTTTCGGGTCTTTTTTTCTTGGGATTTTTCCGGGTTTTCCGGATCAGAAGCCTTCCTGGACCTGTCGCTCATCTTTCTGAATTCTTTCCAAGACCAAAATCTCACGGATCCCGCGGCCCGGGCCCGGATCCCCGAAAAATCTCTCGTTCATGGTTTCGGGTCTTTTTCTTGGGATTTTTCCGGGTTTTTCCGGATCAGAAGCCTTCCTGGACCTGTTGCTCATCTTTCTGAATTCTTTCCGAGACCAAAATCTCACGGATCCCTGCGGCCCGGGCCCGGATCCCCGAAAAATCTCTCGTTCATGGTTTCGGGTCTTTTTTTCTTGGGATTTTTTTCCGGGTTTTCCGGATCAGAAGCCTTCCTGGACCTGTTGCTCATCTTTCTGAATTCTTTCCGAGACCAAAATCTCACGGATCCCTGCGGCCCGGGCCCGGATCCCCGAAAAATCTCTCGTTCATGGTTTCGGGTCTTTTTTTCTTGGGATTTTTTTCCGGGTTTTTCCGGATCAGAAGCCTTTCCTGGACCTGTCGCTCATCTTTCTGAATTCTTTCCAAGACCAAAATCTCACGGATCCCGCGGCCCGGGCCCGGATCCCCGAAAAAAATCTCTCGTTCATGGTTTCGGGTCTTTTTTTCTTGGGATTTTTTTCCGGGTTTTTCCGGATCAGAAGCCTTCCTGGACCTGTTGCTCATCTTTCTGAATTCTTTCCGAGACCAAAATCTCAAGGATCCCGCGGCCCGGGCCCGGATCCCCGAAAAATCTCTCGTGTCGCGTCTCTTATTGTCCCCTCAGTAAAGTCCCACTTGCATGTCATTGAGTGTGTTTTGAAACAAAAAAATTTTTCTCAAAATTTATTGAAGACGGAGAAAGGAAAATGTCGAGAGAAAATGAGACCAGCAGTGGTCAAAAAGATAAACCTCGATGAAGGAATCTGCAAGCATTTTTCATCAGTGTTTCTAATATGTTCTAGAAAAACCTTATACTCATGGCTGAAACTCGTTGAACGAGAGCGCCATGGCGTCGAGCCTCTCTTGGAGAACTCGGATGTCGACGAGCAGTTGATTGTACAGAGCCAGGTAGCGGTCGGACTCTTCAATGTCGTCGCGGTCTTCCGCCTCAACGGCCAGCTGAAACGCGTCTTCGGCCATGTCTTCTTTTTCGAGCTTCTCTTCCAAAACGTCCAGGAAGAGTTCAAATTCATGACGATCCATTCTGAAAGTCATCTACTGAGCGCAGTTAAAGCTGAGATTCTTCGGATCCAAGTCAGGAGCCAGAGAAACTAAGCCAAAGGAAAGAGAAACAATTTACTTCTTGTCCGGAGGAGAGGAAGTGAAGACGACCAGTTACGAAGAGAGCAGTCGCGAGAAGTGACTCTCAGCTGTCGTGAAGGCTCGCGTTGATTCTCACGTCGAATAACCCAAATAGTCGTTTATCATTTCTATCATTTCTGGTCACAGCTCGTGAGGTTTTTTCATCAAAATGTCGTTCATAGTTTCGAGTCTAATCCTAGGAAATTTTGAAAGCCTTCTGGGACTTGTTGCTCATCTTTCTGAATTCTTTCCAGGACCAAAATCTCACGGATCCCGCGGCCCGGGCCCGGATCCCCGAAAATTATCTCGTTCATGGTTTCGGGTCTTTTTCTTGGGATTTTTCCGGGTTTTCCGGATCAGAAGCCTTCCTGGACCTGTTGCTCATCTTTCTGAATTCTTTCCAAGACCAAAATCTCACGGATCCCGCGGCCCGGGCCCGGATCCCCGAAAAATCTCTCGTTCATGGTTTCGGGTCTTTTTCTTGGGATTTTTCCGGGTTTTCCGGATCAGAAGCCTTCCTGGACCTGTTGCTCATCTTTCTGAATTCTTTCCAAGACCAAAATCTCACGGATCCCGCGGCCCGGGCCCGGATCCCCGAAAAATCTCTCGTTCATGGTTTCGGGTCTTTTTCTTGGGATTTTTCCGGGTTTTCCGGATCAGAAGCCTTCCTGGACCTGTTGCTCATCTTTCTGAATTCTTTCCGAGACCAAAATCTCACGGATCCCGCGGCCCTGGGCCCGGATCCCCGAAAAAAATCTCTCGTTCATGGTTTCGGGTCTTTTTTTCTTGGGATTTTTTTCCGGGTTTTCCGGATCAGAAGCCTTCCTGGACCTGTTGCTCATCTTTCTGAATTCTTTCCGAGACCAAAATCTCACGGATCCCTGCGGCCCGGGCCCGGATCCCCGAAAAAAATCTCTCGTTCATGGTTTCGGGTCTTTTTTTCTTGGGATTTTTTTCCGGGTTTTTCCGGATCAGAAGCCTTCCTGGACCTGTCCCTCATCTTTCTGAATTCTTTCCAAGACCAAAATCTCACGGATCCCGCGGCCCGGGCCCGGATCCCCGAAAATTATCTCGTTCATGGTTTCGGGTCTTTTTCTTGGGATTTTTCCGGGTTTTCCGGATCAGAAGCCTTCCTGGACCTGTTGCTCATCTTTCTGAATTCTTTCCAAGACCAAAATCTCACGGATCCCGCGGCCCGGGCCCGGATCCCCGAAAATTATCTCGTTCATGGTTTCGGGTCTTTTTCTTGGGATTTTTCCGGGTTTTCCGGATCAGAAGCCTTCCTGGACCTGTCCCTCATCTTTCTGAATTCTTTCCAAGACCAAAATCTCACGGATCCCGCGGCCCGGGCCCGGATCCCCGAAAAAAATCTCTCGTTCATGGTTTCGGGTCTTTTTCTTGGGATTTTTTTCCGGGTTTTTCCGGATCAGAAGCCTTCCTGGACCTGTTGCTCATCTTTCTGAATTCTTTCCGAGACCAAAATCTCACGGATCCCGCGGCCCGGGCCCGGATCCCCGAAAAATATCTCGTTCATGGTTTCGGGTCTTTTTTTCTTGGGATTTTTTTCCGGGTTTTTCCGGATCAGAAGCCTTCCTGGACCTGTCCCTCATCTTTCTGAATTCTTTCCAAGACCAAAAATCTCACGGATCCCGCGGCCCGGGCCCGGATCCCCGAAAAAAATCTCTCGTTCATGGTTTCGGGTCTTTTTTTCTTGGGATTTTTTTCCGGGTTTTTCCGGATCAGAAGCCTTCCTGGACCTGTTGCTCATCTTTCTGAATTCTTTCCGAGACCAAAAATCTCACGGATCCCGCGGCCCGGGCCCGGATCCCCGAAAAATCTCGTTCATGGTTTCGGGTCTTTTTCTTGGGATTTTTTTCCGGGTTTTTCCGGATCAGAAGCCTTCCTGGACCTGTTGCTCATCTTTCTGAATTCTTTCCGAGACCAAAATCTCACGGATCCCGCGGCCCGGGCCCGGATCCCCGAAAAAAATCTCTCGTTCATGGTTTCGGGTCTTTTTTTCTTGGGATTTTTTTCCGGGTTTTCCGGATCAGAAGCCTTCCTGGACCTGTTGCTCATCTTTCTGAATTCTTTCCGAGACCAAAATCTCACGGATCCCGCGGCCCGGGCCCGGATCCCCGAAAAATCTCTCGTTCATGGTTTCGGGTCTTTTTCTTGGGATTTTTCCGGGTTTTCCGGATCAGAAGCCTTTCTGGACCTGTTGCTCATCTTTCTGATTTCTTTCCATGACCAACATCTCACGGATCCCGCGGCCCGGGCCCGGATCCCCGAAAAATCTCTCGTTCATGGTTTCGGGTCTTTTTCTTGGGATTTTTCCGGGTTTTCCGGATCAGAAGCCTTCCTGGACCTGTTGCTCATCTTTCTGAATTCTTTCCGAGACCAAAATCTCACGGATCCCGCGGCCCGGGCCCGGATCCCCGAAAAATCTCTCGTTCATGGTTTCGGGTCTTTTTCTTGGGATTTTTCCGGGTTTTCCGGATCAGAAGCCTTCCTGGACCTGTCCCTCATCTTTCTGAATTCTTTCCAAGACCAAAATCTCACGGATCCCGCGGCCCGGGCCCGGATCCCCGAAAAATCTCTCGTTCATGGTTTCGGGTCTTTTTCTTGGGATTTTTCCGGGTTTTCCGGATCAGAAGCCTTCCTGGACCTGTTGCTCATCTTTCTGAATTCTTTCCGAGACCAAAATCTCAAGGATCCCGCGGCCCGGGCCCGGATCCCCGAAAAATCTCTCGTGTCGCGTCTCTTATTGTCCCCTCAGTAAAGTCCCACTTGCATGTCATTGAGTGTGTTTGAAACAAAAATTTTCTCAAAATTTATTGAAGACGGAGAAAGGAAAATGTCGAGAGAAAATGAGACCAGCAGTGGTCAAAAGATAAACCTCGATGAAGGAATCTGCAAGCATTTTCATCAGTGTTTCTAATATGTTCTAGAAAACCTTATACTCATGGCTGAAACTCGTTGAACGAGAGCGCCATGGCGTCGAGCCTCTCTTGGAGAACTCGGATGTCGACGAGCAGTTGATTGTACAGAGCCAGGTAGCGGTCGGACTCTTCAATGTCGTCGCGGTCTTCCGCCTCAACGGCCAGCTGAAACGCGTCTTCGGCCATGTCTTCTTTTTCGAGCTTCTCTTCCAAAACGTCCAGGAAGAGTTCAAATTCATGACGATCCATTCTGAAAGTCATCTACTGAGCGCAGTTAAAGCTGAGATTCTTCGGATCCAAGTCAGGAGCCAGAGAAACTAAGCCAAAGGAAAGAGAAACAATTTACTTCTTGTCCGGAGGAGAGGAAGTGAAGACGACCAGTTACGAAGAGAGCAGTCGCGAGAAGTGACTCTCAGCTGTCGTGAAGGCTCGCGTTGATTCTCACGTCGAATAACCCAAATAGTCGTTTATCATTTCTATCATTTCTGGTCACAGCTCGTGAGGTTTTTTCATCAAAATGTCGTTCATAGTTTCGAGTCTAATCCTAGGAAATTTTGAAAGCCTTCTGGGACTTGTTGCTCATCTTTCTGAATTCTTTCCAGGACCAAAATCTCACGGATCCCGCGGCCCGGGCCCGGATCCCCGAAAATTATCTCGTTCATGGTTTCGGGTCTTTTTTTCTTGGGATTTTTTTCCGGGTTTTTCCGGATCAGAAGCCTTTCCTGGACCTGTTGCTCATCTTTCTGGATTCTTTCCAAGACCAAAATCTCACGGATCCCTGCGGCCCGGGCCCGGATCCCCGAAAAAAATCTCTCGTTCATGGTTTCGGGTCTTTTTCTTGGGATTTTTTTCCGGGTTTTCCGGATCAGAAGCCTTCCTGGACCTGTTGCTCATCTTTCTGAATTCTTTCCAAGACCAAAAATCTCACGGATCCCGCGGCCCGGGCCCGGATCCCCGAAAAAAATCTCTCGTTCATGGTTTCGGGTCTTTTTTTCTTGGGATTTTTTTCCGGGTTTTCCGGATCAGAAGCCTTCCTGGACCTGTTGCTCATCTTTCTGAATTCTTTCCGAGACCAAAATCTCACGGATCCCTGCGGCCCGGGGCCCGGATCCCCGAAAAAAATCTCTCGTTCATGGTTTCGGGTCTTTTTTCTTGGGATTTTTTTCCGGGTTTTTCCGGATCAGAAGCCTTCCTGGACCTGTTGCTCATCTTTCTGAATTCTTTCCGAGACCAAAAATCTCACGGATCCCTGCGGCCCTGGGCCCGGATCCCCGAAAAAAATCTCTCGTTCATGGTTTCGGGTCTTTTTTTCTTGGGATTTTTTTCCGGGTTTTTCCGGATCAGAAGCCTTCCTGGACCTGTTGCTCATCTTTCTGAATTCTTTCCGAGACCAAAAATCTCACGGATCCCTGCGGCTCGGGCCCGGATCCCCGAAAAAAATCTCTCGTTCATGGTTTCGGGTCTTTTTCTTGGGATTTTTTTCCGGGTTTTTCCGGATCAGAAGCCTTCCTGGACCTGTTGCTCATCTTTCTGAATTCTTTCCGAGACCAAAATCTCACGGATCCCTGCGGCTCGGGCCCGGATCCCCGAAAAATCTCTCGTTCATGGTTTCGGGTCTTTTTTTCTTGGGATTTTTTTCCGGGTTTTTCCGGATCAGAAGCCTTCCTGGACCTGTTGCTCATCTTTCTGAATTCTTTCCGAGACCAAAATCTCACGGATCCCTGCGGCCTGGGCCTGGATCCCCGAAAAATCTCTCGTTCATGGTTTCGGGTCTTTTTCTTGGGATTTTTTTCCGGGTTTTCCGGATCAGAAGCCTTTCCTGGACCTGTTGCTCATCTTTCTGAATTCTTTCCGAGACCAAAATCTCACGGATCCTGCGGCCTGGGCCCTGATCCCCGAAAAAAATCTCTCGTTCATGGTTTCGGGTCTTTTTTTCTTGGGATTTTTTTCCGGGTTTTTCCGGATCAGAAGCCTTTCCTGGACCTGTTGCTCATCTTTCTGAATTCTTTCCGAGACCAAAAATCTCACGGATCCCTGCGGCCTGGGCCCGGATCCCCGAAAAATCTCTCGTTCATGGTTTCGGGTCTTTTTCTTGGGATTTTTCCGGGTTTTCCGGATCAGAAGCCTTCCTGGACCTGTTGCTCATCTTTCTGAATTCTTTCCGAGACCAAAATCTCACGGATCCCTGCGGCCTGGGCCCGATCCCCGAAAAATCTCTCGTTCATGGTTTCGGGTCTTTTTCTTGGGATTTTTTTCCGGGTTTTTCCGGATCAGAAGCCTTCCTGGACCTGTTGCTCATCTTTCTGAATTCTTTCCGAGACCAAAATCTCACGGATCCCTGCGGCCCGGGCCCGGATCCCCTGAAAAAAATCTCTCGTTCATGGTTTCGGGTCTTTTTCTTGGGATTTTTTTCCGGGTTTTTCCGGATCAGAAGCCTTCCTGGACCTGTTGCTCATCTTTCTGAATTCTTTCCCGAGACCAAAATCTCACGGATCCCTGCGGCTCGGGCCCGGATCCCCGAAAAATCTCTCGTTCATGGTTTCGGGTCTTTTTCTTGGGATTTTTCCGGGTTTTCCGGATCAGAAGCCTTCCTGGACCTGTTGCTCATCTTTCTGAATTCTTTCCGAGACCAAAATCTCACGGATCCCTGCGGCCTGGGCCCGGATCCCCGAAAAATCTCTCGTTCATGGTTTCGGGTCTTTTTTTCTTGGGATTTTTTTCCGGGTTTTCCGGATCAGAAGCCTTCCTGGACCTGTTGCTCATCTTTCTGAATTCTTTCCGAGACCAAAAATCTCACGGATCCTGCGGCTCGGGCCCTGATCCCCGAAAAAAATCTCTCGTTCATGGTTTCGGGTCTTTTTCTTGGGATTTTTTTCCGGGTTTTCCGGATCAGAAGCCTTCCTGGACCTGTTGCTCATCTTTCTGAATTCTTTCCGAGACCAAAATCTCACGGATCCTGCGGCCTGGGCCCGGATCCCCGAAAAATCTCTCGTTCATGGTTTCGGGTCTTTTTTTCTTGGGATTTTTTTCCGGGTTTTCCGGATCAGAAGCCTTCCTGGACCTGTTGCTCATCTTTCTGAATTCTTTCCGAGACCAAAATCTCACGGATCCCTGCGGCTCGGGCCCGGATCCCCGAAAAATCTCTCGTTCATGGTTTCGGGTCTTTTTCTTGGGATTTTTTTCCGGGTTTTTCCGGATCAGAAGCCTTCCTGGACCTGTTGCTCATCTTTTCTGAATTCTTTCCGAGACCAAAATCTCACGGATCCTGCGGCTCGGGCCCTGATCCCCGAAAAAAATCTCTCGTTCATGGTTTCGGGTCTTTTTTTCTTGGGATTTTTTTCCGGGTTTTCCGGATCAGAAGCCTTCCTGGACCTGTTGCTCATCTTTCTGAATTCTTTCCGAGACCAAAATCTCACGGATCCCTGCGGCCTCGGGCCCGGATCCCCTGAAAAATCTCTCGTTCATGGTTTCGGGTCTTTTTCTTGGGATTTTTTTCCGGGTTTTCCGGATCAGAAGCCTTCCTGGACCTGTTGCTCATCTTTCTGAATTCTTTCCGAGACCAAAATCTCACGGATCCTGCGGCCTGGGCCCGGATCCCCGAAAAAAATCTCTCGTTCATGGTTTCGGGTCTTTTTTTCTTGGGATTTTTTTCCGGGTTTTTCCGGATCAGAAGCCTTCCTGGACCTGTTGCTCATCTTTCTGAATTCTTTCCCGAGACCAAAATCTCACGGATCCCTGCGGCCTGGGCCCGATCCCCGAAAAAAATCTCTCGTTCATGGTTTCGGGTCTTTTTTTCTTGGGATTTTTTTCCGGGTTTTCCGGATCAGAAGCCTTCCTGGACCTGTTGCTCATCTTTCTGAATTCTTTCCGAGACCAAAATCTCACGGATCCCTGCGGCTCGGGCCCGGATCCCCGAAAAATCTCTCGTTCATGGTTTCGGGTCTTTTTTTCTTGGGATTTTTTTCCGGGTTTTTCCGGATCAGAAGCCTTCCTGGACCTGTTGCTCATCTTTCTGAATTCTTTCCGAGACCAAAATCTCACGGATCCCTGCGGCCTGGGCCCGGATCCCCGAAAAAAATCTCTCGTTCATGGTTTCGGGTCTTTTTCTTGGGATTTTTTTCCGGGTTTTCCGGATCAGAAGCCTTCCTGGACCTGTTGCTCATCTTTCTGAATTCTTTCCGAGACCAAAATCTCACGGATCCTGCGGCCTGGGCCCGGATCCCCGAAAAAAATCTCTCGTTCATGGTTTCGGGTCTTTTTCTTTGGGATTTTTTTCCGGGTTTTCCGGATCAGAAGCCTTCCTGGACCTGTTGCTCATCTTTCTGAATTCTTTCCGAGACCAAAATCTCACGGATCCCTGCGGCCTGGGCCCGGATCCCCGAAAAATCTCTCGTTCATGGTTTCGGGTCTTTTTTCTTGGGATTTTTTTCCGGGTTTTTCCGGATCAGAAGCCTTCCTGGACCTGTTGCTCATCTTTCTGAATTCTTTCCGAGACCAAAAATCTCACGGATCCCTGCGGCTCGGGCCCGGATCCCCGAAAAATCTCTCGTTCATGGTTTCGGGTCTTTTTTTCTTGGGATTTTTTTCCGGGTTTTTCCGGATCAGAAGCCTTCCTGGACCTGTTGCTCATCTTTCTGAATTCTTTCCGAGACCAAAATCTCACGGATCCCTGCGGCCTCGGGCCCGGATCCCCGAAAAATCTCTCGTTCATGGTTTCGGGTCTTTTTTCTTGGGATTTTTTTCCGGGTTTTTCCGGATCAGAAGCCTTCCTGGACCTGTTGCTCATCTTTCTGAATTCTTTCCGAGACCAAAATCTCACGGATCCCGCGGCCCTGGGCCCGGATCCCCGAAAAAAATCTCTCGTTCATGGTTTCGGGTCTTTTTTTCTTGGGATTTTTTTCCGGGTTTTCCGGATCAGAAGCCTTCCTGGACCTGTTGCTCATCTTTCTGAATTCTTTCCGAGACCAAAATCTCACGGATCCCTGCGGCCCGGGCCCGGATCCCCGAAAAAAATCTCTCGTTCATGGTTTCGGGTCTTTTTCTTGGGATTTTTTTCCGGGTTTTCCGGATCAGAAGCCTTCCTGGACCTGTTGCTCATCTTTCTGAATTCTTTCCGAGACCAAAATCTCACGGATCCCTGCGGCCCTGGGCCCGGATCCCCGAAAAAAATCTCTCGTTCATGGTTTCGGGTCTTTTTTTCTTGGGATTTTTTTCCGGGTTTTCCGGATCAGAAGCCTTTCCTGGACCTGTTGCTCATCTTTCTGAATTCTTTCCGAGACCAAAATCTCACGGATCCCGCGGCCCGGGCCCGGATCCCCGAAAAATCTCTCGTTCATGGTTTCGGGTCTTTTTCTTGGGATTTTTCCGGGTTTTCCGGATCAGAAGCCTTCCTGGACCTGTTGCTCATCTTTCTGAATTCTTTCCGAGACCAAAATCTCACGGATCCCGCGGCCCGGGCCCGGATCCCCGAAAAATCTCTCGTTCATGGTTTCGGGTCTTTTTCTTGGGATTTTTCCGGGTTTTCCGGATCAGAAGCCTTCCTGGACCTGTTGCTCATCTTTCTGAATTTCTTTCCGAGACCAAAATCTCACGGATCCCGCGGCCCGGGCCCGGATCCCCGAAAAATCTCTCGTTCATGGTTTCGGGTCTTTTTCTTGGGATTTTTTTCCGGGTTTTCCGGATCAGAAGCCTTCCTGGACCTGTTGCTCATCTTTCTGAATTCTTTCCGAGACCAAAAATCTCACGGATCCCTGCGGCCCTGGGCCCGGATCCCCGAAAAATCTCTCGTTCATGGTTTCGGGTCTTTTTCTTGGGATTTTTCCGGGTTTTCCGGATCAGAAGCCTTCCTGGACCTGTCGCTCATCTTTCTGAATTCTTTCCGAGACCAAAATCTCACGGATCCCGCGGCCCGGGCCCGGATCCCCGAAAAATCTCTCGTTCATGGTTTCGGGTCTTTTTCTTGGGATTTTTCCGGGTTTTCCGGATCAGAAGCCTTCCTGGACCTGTTGCTCATCTTTCTGAATTCTTTCCGAGACCAAAATCTCAAGGATCCCGCGGCCCGGGCCCGGATCCCCGAAAAATCTCTCGTGTCGCGTCTCTTATTGTCCCCTCAGTAAAGTCCCACTTGCATGTCATTGAGTGTGTTTGAAACAAAAATTTTCTCAAAATTTATTGAAGACGGAGAAAGGAAAATGTCGAGAGAAAATGAGACCAGCAGTGGTCAAAAGATAAACCTCGATGAAGGAATCTGCAAGCATTTTCATCAGTGTTTCTAATATGTTCTAGAAAACCTTATACTCATGGCTGAAACTCGTTGAACGAGAGCGCCATGGCGTCGAGCCTCTCTTGGAGAACTCGGATGTCGACGAGCAGTTGATTGTACAGAGCCAGGTAGCGGTCGGACTCTTCAATGTCGTCGCGGTCTTCCGCCTCAACGGCCAGCTGAAACGCGTCTTCGGCCATGTCTTCTTTTTCGAGCTTCTCTTCCAAAACGTCCAGGAAGAGTTCAAATTCATGACGATCCATTCTGAAAGTCATCTACTGAGCGCAGTTAAAGCTGAGATTCTTCGGATCCAAGTCAGGAGCCAGAGAAACTAAGCCAAAGGAAAGAGAAACAATTTACTTCTTGTCCGGAGGAGAGGAAGTGAAGACGACCAGTTACGAAGAGAGCAGTCGCGAGAAGTGACTCTCAGCTGTCGTGAAGGCTCGCGTTGATTCTCACGTCGAATAACCCAAATAGTCGTTTATCATTTCTATCATTTCTGGTCACAGCTCGTGAGGTTTTTTCATCAAAATGTCGTTCATAGTTTCGAGTCTAATCCTAGGAAATTTTGAAAGCCTTCTGGGACTTGTTGCTCATCTTTCTGAATTCTTTCCAAGACCAAAATCTCACGGATCCCGCGGCCCGGGCCCGGATCCCCGAAAAATCTCTCGTTCATGGTTTCGGGTCTTTTTCTTGGGATTTTTCCGGGTTTTCCGGATCAGAAGCCTTCCTGGACCTGTTGCTCATCTTTCTGGATTCTTTCCAAGACCAAAATCTCACGGATCCCGCGGCCCGGGCCCGGATCCCCGAAAAATCTCTCGTTCATGGTTTCGGGTCTTTTTCTTGGGATTTTTCCGGGTTTTCCGGATCAGAAGCCTTCCTGGACCTGTTGCTCATCTTTCTGAATTCTTTCCGAGACCAAAATCTCACGGATCCCGCGGCCCGGGCCCGGATCCCCGAAAAATCTCTCGTTCATGGTTTCGGGTCTTTTTCTTGGGATTTTTCCGGGTTTTCCGGATCAGAAGCCTTCCTGGACCTGTTGCTCATCTTTCTGAATTCTTTCCGAGACCAAAATCTCACGGATCCCGCGGCCCGGGCCCGGATCCCCGAAAAATCTCTCGTTCATGGTTTCGGGTCTTTTTTTCTTGGGATTTTTTTCCGGGTTTTTCCGGATCAGAAGCCTTCCTGGACCTGTTGCTCATCTTTCTGAATTCTTTCCGAGACCAAAATCTCACGGATCCCGCGGCCCGGGCCCGGATCCCCGAAAAAAATCTCGTTCATGGTTTCGGGTCTTTTTTTCTTGGGATTTTTTTCCGGGTTTTTCCGGATCAGAAGCCTTCCTGGACCTGTTGCTCATCTTTCTGAATTCTTTCCGAGACCAAAATCTCACGGATCCCGCGGCCCGGGCCCGGATCCCCGAAAAATCTCTCGTTCATGGTTTCGGGTCTTTTTCTTGGGATTTTTCCGGGTTTTCCGGATCAGAAGCCTTCCTGGACCTGTTGCTCATCTTTCTGAATTCTTTCCGAGACCAAAAATCTCACGGATCCCGCGGCCCGGGCCCGGATCCCCGAAAAAAATCTCTCGTTCATGGTTTCGGGTCTTTTTTCTTGGGATTTTTTTCCGGGTTTTCCGGATCAGAAGCCTTCCTGGACCTGTTGCTCATCTTTCTGAATTCTTTCCGAGACCAAAATCTCACGGATCCCGCGGCCCGGGCCCGGATCCCCGAAAAATATCTCGTTCATGGTTTCGGGTCTTTTTTTCTTGGGATTTTTTTCCGGGTTTTTCCGGATCAGAAGCCTTCCTGGACCTGTTGCTCATCTTTCTGAATTCTTTCCGAGACCAAAATCTCACGGATCCCGCGGCCCGGGCCCGGATCCCCGAAAAAAATCTCGTTCATGGTTTCGGGTCTTTTTTTCTTGGGATTTTTTTCCGGGTTTTTCCGGATCAGAAGCCTTCCTGGACCTGTTGCTCATCTTTCTGAATTCTTTCCAAGACCAAAAATCTCACGGATCCCGCGGCCCGGGCCCGGATCCCCGAAAAAAAATCTCTCGTTCATGGTTTCGGGTCTTTTTCTTGGGATTTTTTTCCGGGTTTTTCCGGATCAGAAGCCTTCCTGGACCTGTTGCTCATCTTTCTGAATTCTTTCCGAGACCAAAATCTCACGGATCCCGCGGCCCGGGCCCGGATCCCCGAAAAAAATCTCGTTCATGGTTTCGGGTCTTTTTTTCTTGGGATTTTTTTCCGGGTTTTCCGGATCAGAAGCCTTCCTGGACCTGTTGCTCATCTTTCTGAATTCTTTCCGAGACCAAAATCTCACGGATCCCGCGGCCCGGGCCCGGATCCCCGAAAAAAATCTCGTTCATGGTTTCGGGTCTTTTTTTCTTGGGATTTTTTTCCGGGTTTTTCCGGATCAGAAGCCTTCCTGGACCTGTTGCTCATCTTTCTGAATTCTTTCCGAGACCAAAATCTCACGGATCCCGCGGCCCGGGCCCGGATCCCCGAAAATTATCTCGTTCATGGTTTCGGGTCTTTTTCTTGGGATTTTTCCGGGTTTTCCGGATCAGAAGCCTTCCTGGACCTGTTGCTCATCTTTCTGAATTCTTTCCGAGACCAAAATCTCACGGATCCCGCGGCCCGGGCCCGGATCCCCGAAAAATCTCTCGTTCATGGTTTCGGGTCTTTTTCTTGGGATTTTTCCGGGTTTTCCGGATCAGAAGCCTTCCTGGACCTGTTGCTCATCTTTCTGAATTCTTTCCGAGACCAAAATCTCACGGATCCCGCGGCCCGGGCCCGGATCCCCGAAAAAAATCTCGTTCATGGTTTCGGGTCTTTTTTTCTTGGGATTTTTTTCCGGGTTTTCCGGATCAGAAGCCTTCCTGGACCTGTTGCTCATCTTTCTGAATTCTTTCCGAGACCAAAATCTCACGGATCCCGCGGCCCGGGCCCGGATCCCCGAAAAAAATCTCGTTCATGGTTTCGGGTCTTTTTCTTGGGATTTTTTTCCGGGTTTTTCCGGATCAGAAGCCTTCCTGGACCTGTTGCTCATCTTTCTGAATTCTTTCCGAGACCAAAAATCTCACGGATCCCGCGGCCCGGGCCCGGATCCCCGAAAAAAATCTCGTTCATGGTTTCGGGTCTTTTTTTCTTGGGATTTTTTTCCGGGTTTTCCGGATCAGAAGCCTTCCTGGACCTGTTGCTCATCTTTCTGAATTCTTTCCGAGACCAAAATCTCACGGATCCCGCGGCCCGGGCCCGGATCCCCGAAAAAAATCTCTCGTTCATGGTTTCGGGTCTTTTTTTCTTGGGATTTTTTTCCGGGTTTTTCCGGATCAGAAGCCTTCCTGGACCTGTTGCTCATCTTTCTGAATTCTTTCCGAGACCAAAATCTCACGGATCCCGCGGCCCGGGCCCGGATCCCCGAAAAATCTCTCGTTCATGGTTTCGGGTCTTTTTCTTGGGATTTTTCCGGGTTTTCCGGATCAGAAGCCTTCCTGGACCTGTTGCTCATCTTTCTGAATTCTTTCCGAGACCAAAATCTCACGGATCCCGCGGCCCGGGCCCGGATCCCCGAAAATTATCTCGTTCATGGTTTCGGGTCTTTTTCTTGGGATTTTTCCGGGTTTTCCGGATCAGAAGCCTTCCTGGACCTGTTGCTCATCTTTCTGAATTCTTTCCGAGACCAAAATCTCACGGATCCCGCGGCCCGGGCCCGGATCCCCGAAAATTATCTCGTTCATGGTTTCGGGTCTTTTTCTTGGGATTTTTCCGGGTTTTCCGGATCAGAAGCCTTCCTGGACCTGTTGCTCATCTTTCTGAATTCTTTCCGAGACCAAAATCTCACGGATCCCGCGGCCCGGGCCCGGATCCCCGAAAAATCTCTCGTTCATGGTTTCGGGTCTTTTTCTTGGGATTTTTTTCCGGGTTTTTCCGGATCAGAAGCCTTCCTGGACCTGTTGCTCATCTTTCTGAATTCTTTCCGAGACCAAAAATCTCACGGATCCCGCGGCCCGGGCCCGGATCCCCGAAAAATCTCTCGTTCATGGTTTCGGGTCTTTTTTTCTTGGGATTTTTTTCCGGGTTTTTCCGGATCAGAAGCCTTCCTGGACCTGTTGCTCATCTTTCTGAATTCTTTCCGAGACCAAAATCTCACGGATCCCGCGGCCCGGGCCCGGATCCCCGAAAAAAATCTCGTTCATGGTTTCGGGTCTTTTTTTCTTGGGATTTTTTTCCGGGTTTTTCCGGATCAGAAGCCTTCCTGGACCTGTTGCTCATCTTTCTGAATTCTTTCCGAGACCAAAATCTCACGGATCCCGCGGCCCGGGCCCGGATCCCCGAAAAAAATCTCGTTCATGGTTTCGGGTCTTTTTTTCTTGGGATTTTTTTCCGGGTTTTTCCGGATCAGAAGCCTTCCTGGACCTGTTGCTCATCTTTCTGAATTCTTTCCGAGACCAAAATCTCACGGATCCCGCGGCCCGGGCCCGGATCCCCGAAAAAAATCTCGTTCATGGTTTCGGGTCTTTTTTCTTGGGATTTTTTCCGGGTTTTCCGGATCAGAAGCCTTCCTGGACCTGTTGCTCATCTTTCTGAATTCTTTCCGAGACCAAAATCTCACGGATCCCGCGGCCCGGGCCCGGATCCCCGAAAAATCTCTCGTTCATGGTTTCGGGTCTTTTTTTCTTGGGATTTTTTTCCGGGTTTTTCCGGATCAGAAGCCTTCCTGGACCTGTTGCTCATCTTTCTGAATTCTTTCCGAGACCAAAATCTCACGGATCCCGCGGCCCGGGCCCGGATCCCCGAAAAATCTCTCGTTCATGGTTTCGGGTCTTTTTCTTGGGATTTTTCCGGGTTTTCCGGATCAGAAGCCTTCCTGGACCTGTTGCTCATCTTTCTGAATTCTTTCCGAGACCAAAATCTCACGGATCCCGCGGCCCGGGCCCGGATCCCCGAAAAATCTCTCGTTCATGGTTTCGGGTCTTTTTCTTGGGATTTTTCCGGGTTTTCCGGATCAGAAGCCTTCCTGGACCTGTTGCTCATCTTTCTGAATTCTTTCCGAGACCAAAATCTCACGGATCCCGCGGCCCGGGCCCGGATCCCCGAAAAATATCTCGTTCATGGTTTCGGGTCTTTTTCTTGGGATTTTTTTCCGGGTTTTCCGGATCAGAAGCCTTCCTGGACCTGTTGCTCATCTTTCTGAATTCTTTCCGAGACCAAAAATCTCACGGATCCCGCGGCCCGGGCCCGGATCCCCGAAAAAAATCTCTCGTTCATGGTTTCGGGTCTTTTTTTCTTGGGATTTTTTTCCGGGTTTTTCCGGATCAGAAGCCTTTCCTGGACCTGTTGCTCATCTTTCTGAATTCTTTCCGAGACCAAAATCTCACGGATCCCGCGGCCCGGGCCCGGATCCCCGAAAAAAATCTCTCGTTCATGGTTTCGGGTCTTTTTCTTGGGATTTTTTTCCGGGTTTTTCCGGATCAGAAGCCTTCCTGGACCTGTTGCTCATCTTTCTGAATTCTTTCCGAGACCAAAAATCTCACGGATCCCGCGGCCCGGGCCCGGATCCCCGAAAAAAATCTCGTTCATGGTTTCGGGTCTTTTTTTCTTGGGATTTTTTTCCGGGTTTTTCCGGATCAGAAGCCTTCCTGGACCTGTTGCTCATCTTTCTGAATTCTTTCCGAGACCAAAAATCTCACGGATCCCGCGGCCCGGGCCCGGATCCCCGAAAAAAATCTCGTTCATGGTTTCGGGTCTTTTTTTCTTGGGATTTTTTTCCGGGTTTTTCCGGATCAGAAGCCTTCCTGGACCTGTTGCTCATCTTTCTGAATTCTTTCCGAGACCAAAATCTCACGGATCCCGCGGCCCGGGCCCGGATCCCCGAAAAAAATCTCGTTCATGGTTTCGGGTCTTTTTCTTGGGATTTTTTTCCGGGTTTTTCCGGATCAGAAGCCTTTCCTGGACCTGTTGCTCATCTTTCTGAATTCTTTCCGAGACCAAAATCTCACGGATCCCGCGGCCCGGGCCCGGATCCCCGAAAAATCTCGTTCATGGTTTCGGGTCTTTTTTTCTTGGGATTTTTTTCCGGGTTTTTCCGGATCAGAAGCCTTCCTGGACCTGTTGCTCATCTTTCTGAATTCTTTCCGAGACCAAAATCTCACGGATCCCGCGGCCCGGGCCCGGATCCCCGAAAATTATCTCGTTCATGGTTTCGGGTCTTTTTCTTGGGATTTTTTTCCGGGTTTTCCGGATCAGAAGCCTTCCTGGACCTGTTGCTCATCTTTCTGAATTCTTTCCGAGACCAAAATCTCACGGATCCCGCGGCCCGGGCCCGGATCCCCGAAAATTATCTCGTTCATGGTTTCGGGTCTTTTTCTTGGGATTTTTTTCCGGGTTTTTCCGGATCAGAAGCCTTCCTGGACCTGTTGCTCATCTTTCTGAATTCTTTCCGAGACCAAAATCTCACGGATCCCGCGGCCCGGGCCCGGATCCCCGAAAAAAATCTCTCGTTCATGGTTTCGGGTCTTTTTTTCTTGGGATTTTTTTCCGGGTTTTTCCGGATCAGAAGCCTTCCTGGACCTGTTGCTCATCTTTCTGAATTCTTTTCCGAGACCAAAAATCTCACGGATCCCGCGGCCCGGGCCCGGATCCCCGAAAAATCTCTCGTTCATGGTTTCGGGTCTTTTTCTTGGGATTTTTCCGGGTTTTCCGGATCAGAAGCCTTCCTGGACCTGTTGCTCATCTTTCTGAATTCTTTCCGAGACCAAAATCTCACGGATCCCGCGGCCCGGGCCCGGATCCCCGAAAAATCTCTCGTTCATGGTTTCGGGTCTTTTTCTTGGGATTTTTCCGGGTTTTCCGGATCAGAAGCCTTCCTGGACCTGTTGCTCATCTTTCTGAATTCTTTCCGAGACCAAAATCTCACGGATCCCGCGGCCCGGGCCCGGATCCCCGAAAAATCTCTCGTTCATGGTTTCGGGTCTTTTTCTTGGGATTTTTCCGGGTTTTCCGGATCAGAAGCCTTTCCTGGACCTGTTGCTCATCTTTCTGAATTTCTTTCCGAGACCAAAATCTCACGGATCCCGCGGCCCGGGCCCGGATCCCCGAAAAATCTCTCGTTCATGGTTTCGGGTCTTTTTCTTGGGATTTTTCCGGGTTTTCCGGATCAGAAGCCTTCCTGGACCTGTTGCTCATCTTTC